TGGTAGCCTTGCAGCAAGAAGGTGCTGGGTTCGATTCCCGGCCTGGGGTCTGCATGTTCTCCCTGTGCATGCGTGGGTTCTCTCTGGGTACTCTGGCTTCCTCCCGAAGTCCAAAACCATGACTGTCAGGTCAATTGGTCTCTCTAAATTCTCCTTAGGTGTGTGTGTGTGTGTGTGGGCATGGTTGTTTGTCCTGTTTGCTTCTATGTTGTCCTGCGACAGACTGGCGTCTTGTCCAGGGTTGACCCCCGCCTCTCACCCGGAACGCAGCTGGAGATGGGCACCAGCAACTTCAGACCCCACAAGGGTGAACAGGTAATGGATGGATAGATGTTTTGATTTCATGAAGAAGCTTGTGAAAGACGGTACGGTTAAACATGCGAGGGGCAAAAAAAAAAAGTCTTCTGAGGTTCAACCTTCTTGTGCGCACTGTTCCACTGCCGATGTGTTTTATGTGAAGAAGGAAATTACAGAAGGGCACAAAACATCTGACCTACAACTATTCATCATTACCATATTATTATATCCAGTCCAACATTACCTCTCTTCTTCTTTCACGTCTACAGAGTCTCTGTCCTTGCTGTGGCTTTCTTCTTATTTTAGCCTCCACAAACCCTGATTGCTTTATCGGCCTGTGGTTTACAAAAGCTTTGGGTTTGAATGAATATTTTATGAAAAAAAACAAAAGAAACACGATTTCCGATTTCCTTTCACAATGGACTAAGACCATGTCAGTATTTCACATTAATTTCTTTCAAACCACGCAGGGACGTCGCTCTGTCCTTGTCAATGCAGTCGATAATGGCTGCACTTGTCCGGTTCCCCGATGTGAGCCGTGAAGAAACGATCGCCTTTATCACATCTAATCTGCCTCATGGTGAGCAGCAGTAAGAAGATGAAAAGAGTCCCTCAATCGAGAAAGTCGTATGTTTAAGAAAAAATTAGTAATAATAATAAAAGAGCCCTGCACGTGCAAGCCGGCCTTGCGGGTTTTTTCTGCCAAAATATGTTTGGTTTTTGATCGGGGTGAGAGATAAACTCCCTATTTTTTTCTTTCTTTTTTTCTCTCAAATGTAATGCTTCGAATCTCCCGCAGTGTTCCCACTAATGAACAGCACTAATTGATTGAAAACGCTGGTGGGAGGAGGGTGAGAGCGAGGAAACAGCGTCCGGACCTGATCCAGGAAGATGGCGGCTCCCACAGAGCGGGGCAGCCAAAGTGTCCAGCAGGGAGGAGAGACTAACACAACTCGGAGCGTTTTAAGCCTGCCAGGCAACAAAAACACTTTTTTCTTTTTTTTTTTTTTTTTGACAAAATTACAATCATTCTTGTGTTGCTGTCAATTAAAATGATGCTGGGTGTTCTGTTTGACACTCTCAGGTGTTTACAGAGAGCCAAAACACAATAAAGACCATCTCTCTTTTTTTTTTTTTTTTTGCCGTACTGCCGTCCCAACTCTTTGACGTCTCCGCACCTTTAAACTTGCGGCACGGTTAACGTGCTAACGCACGCTATTCGTCTGGAAACGCGTTGAGGTTACGTAACACACATTAATCGCGCGACCTGTTTTGACCTCGGCAGCCTCTCTGCTGCAGAGGGTCACAGCAGCGCGCTGCACGGTCTTGTACTGCGGTCAGCCATGTGGAGTCGCAAACATGATAGAAAGGATGAGCAGGGAGAGTCAGTCTGGTTGCCGAGCGTCAAATTTCACCTTAAAAAAACGCAGCAGTAGACTTTGGATGAAACCAGCGTGACATGTACTTGTTGCAGCGATGAGTTATCCTTCCACTGAAGCACAAACGGCTCGAAGTTAACGTTTCTAATGTTTGGAACGAAAGGACGTCTTTTAAACCATCCCAAAGATGAAAACCCCGTTGCTTTTGGGACAACTAAACCTTTTCTCAAGCAACGTGCATATTTACATGTCAAGCTTAGAACATAGTGATTAATCACAGAGCTAGAGAGTAATTAAACAGATTACATTTTTTTGATCGATTGACAGCACTAATTGGAATTCGACGCCCTGTTATCTCAAGTGGTCACCGAATCAGCAATTACAAGTCCAACGTCTCAGTGTAAATGCAGGTGTTCTACGAAAGGCCTCTGAAGGTCGTTGGAGAACATCGGAGGATGAGCAGCATGATGAAGACCAAAGAACACAGCAAACATGTTAGGGACGAAGTCCCGCGTAGACGCTTAAAGCTTTGATCATCCTCCAAAGCAATCTTTAATTCATGATTTGAAGACATAAAGAGAGACAAGACAAGACATTGCCATGTTCTTCACCTGACAGGCCAGCAGGGGACAGAAGGCTATCAATCAGATAAGAAATCAAAAGACTGACGGTAGTTCTTGGAGAACTGCAGAGATTCACACCTCAGGTGGGAGGATCAGTCAACAGGTGAACTATTAGTCAAGCACTCCGCAAACCGGGTCTTCGTGGAACCTTTGCAAGAAGAAAACCACTGCTGGTAAAAAGCAATCAAGTTATCAAGGGCAATGGTTCCCCAAACCAGAGAATCTCAGCCCTCCGTTTTTATGTGTTAGACGTTTCTCTGCTCCAGCATATCCAGTTCAAACCCTGCACCCATTCATTCGGAAGCAGGGAAACACCTAAATCACAATATTGAGTCCTGAAGGCTACAGACACAGGAAACGTGGGAAAAACGATGTTCTTCTCAGTTTGGTCTACCTGTAAAAGGCTTTGTTTGGTGGAAAACCAACAGTGCACAACGTCATGATGCAAATGTCCCTAGAGCAAAGCATGGTGAAGGCAGCATCTCCATGGTTAGACACTACGGCTGATGTGTCTTGCTCAGGTTTGGTTTTAGCCATCCTGACTTCGGTCATGTCTCTGAGCTCCACCAGTGACGGACTATTATAGAACTGGAAGATAATGGCTTAGTCCTTCACATATCCACAACAGATATGTCTACTTTGTTCTGTCCTCTGCAGTTCATTTGCACCTTGTTTTCTCAACTTCTTGTGACTGTTGATTATCAAAAAAAAAATAAAATGTTTTGTGATCGCACCCCAACATTTTAACAAGAGTACAGCATCCCTTTGAGAGACTTTTGAGTATTCTTGACTTTTCATAGTCAGTTGAATCTCTTTTTGGACCGTTATTCCAAAAGAAACAAGACTGCCACATATGCCCACCTTGACAAAGGGACAAAGGGTGCCCACCTTGTCATGGTCCCGGTCCTCGAGGGCCGGCATCCTGCATCCAACCTGGATCCAACAATGGCTCATCAGAAGCCCTAAGAAGAACGTTGACATGCTGAAAAAGCTGTTCCTACCACCAGGGAGAGAACTGAAACGTGGAGGATGCCGGCCCTCAAGGACCGACTTGACATAGGGTGTCGACGTCCCAAGGTCATTCCACAGATATGCATCACCTGCCATTAAAACCGTATAGAATTTGAGTTTAACTAGGTTGGAGTTATAAAATATGCCTAAAAATAACGGCACGGTCAAAACACTCACTTGCCTAATAATTTTGCCCACAATGATATGAATGTTTCTTACCTACTCAAAAGTAAGCAAAGCAAGCAGTATTTTAATTCAACATATGGAGATTTTTTTTCTAAAGGGATGTGTGAGAAATTGCTGATCCAAAGCTCAAATTTGTTTTGAGCTTTGGATAAGTGTCTTTCATTATTTTTTCAATTTGTTTATTTTGGTTGTTTTATATTTGAATATTTGGAGGACCATCTTGGACATCGGCTCTTGGCTTTCTCATGTTATCCTTGACGATGATGCCTAACTGTGGTCTTAAAGTATAAATGCTTCATTCTGTTGTACTATAAGAAGAAAAAAAAAACATAAATTCAGTTCAAATATATTTTTTGTATAAGCCTTAATACAGCAGAAATGTATACATTTCTGCTTTATTTATAAAAAAATAAATAAATAAAAAAACGAAAACATCTGTTGCTGATTGCTCTTTGTGTATACATTTCTGCTTTATTAAGGTTTTCAAATAATCTTGAGCTTGATTTTTTTTTTTTTTTTTGTTAAATCTTTTTTTAGCAGTAAGAATAAAATGTGTTGTTATCATTGTTCCTTTGGAAAATCTTGCTGTATTTATCCGAGTTCAATACTTTACTTAAAAGCAGACTCAGGTGCACCAAAGTCTGCTTTTTTGAATAGAACTGGTCTCGCATACTATGAAAATAAACAATGTAAAAAGCCGGTTTACAAAACGCACATACTTTGTGTTGTACATAATATTTTCCATTCCAAGAATTGTGAAGGATTAATTCTTGCCCTAACTAAAAATAAAAGCATTCTCCATCTGCACTGTTGAACTGCGACACTTTTTTCTATTTTACAATTCTTTGCCGTGTTTTATTTTAATAATGTAATCCTATGGTTCCGGTAACAGTGTCATAAATATAGCAAACTAACAGTTTGTATTTTTTATTTATTTATTTATTTATTTATTTATTTTTATCTTGCACAGTTTTCAATAATTTCATCTTAAGTTTAAAAAAAAAATTATAAAGCAGTAGCCAAAATGTCTGCTTAACATTATTGCACATGTGGTTATCCAAAAGCACTAAATATGTCTTATTAATGATCATCCATTTTATTAATGACATGCCTAAGAAAATACTTTTCAAAGTTCCCTCTGAGCTAATTTATCTTGTAAAATATTATCTGAGCACTTATTTTGATCTCAGACAGCAGATTTTTTTTTGTAGATTATTGTATAATTATTCAATAAATCCTATTATTTCAAAGGATTATAAAAAACATATGAATATTAAAAGTGGGTAAATTTTGTATCTTTTGTAAGTAGGGTGAGCAACAATTTTCAAACTGAAGCCAAAGCTCAGAGTGACTGAGGAGGATTTATGACTGTGTCAAGATTCATTAAAAATTGGAGAAAGAAAAAAATGTGGCAAACTAAGCTAAAAAAAAATTTTTAAAAATAAAATGAAAAAAATAAATAAAACGCATTTCTTCAAAAATTCGTCTCATTTGACATAAAAGGAACACTTCATACACATTTTTTTAATTCTTCAAGTTTAATTTATTCCAACAGGAGAGGAGGGGAAGGACATCAATTTAATAATTAGGAGTATATTACTGTCCTCTCAGACAAACAGCACGTATAAACACACATACACAACTTCTGCAGTGGAATGCGAAATATCATCTTCTTCTTCATTTACAGTTTCTTTATATTTTTGCATGGCTGCAAACAATAGCTCGTTTCTTTTCTCTTTCTCTGGCAATAAATCCTTAAGTAAACCGGAAGCTGCACTTTGCTTCCGTCAGAAGGAACGGGTCGAAAACGAAACGGGTAAAAAAAAAAAAAAAAAAAAAAAAAAAACATAAAGAAAAAGTGCAAATTGATGTTCGGAAAAAGATGGGGTTGGGAAATTTATTTTTTATTTTTTTATGCAGCTTAGCAGTGGAGATGGTTTGTTTTTAAAGTGCAAAATGGAAAAAAAAATTCGAATAAGATTCACGATAGAACAGATTTTTAAAAAGTCGATTTTATGAACACGTCACTGTGGGCTTTATCCAGATGACTTTTTCCTCAGCAAGAAAAAAAAAGAGCAAATTTTTCAAATATGTCTTAGTCAACCTTGGCAGGTTTTTTTCCCTGTTTTGTTTTTGTGGCTTGAAATAAAATTAAAATAAATAAATAAAAAAAACGAAACATCTGTTGCTGATTGCCGTTTGTTTTTGCGCGCAGGTGGATTCAGCGTCTGTCTGCACGAAAACAATGTTTGTGTTTCGATTTTTATTTTTAAGAGATTAAGCAGCTGCTTTTTTATTATTATAATTTGATACCTTTTTTTGCTGTGAGAAGCCTGGATGGATTTCAGAAACAACCGAGAGTGATAAATGCATTTTTTTTAATTAAGAAAAAAAAAACTTGGATCTTTTATTCGAATATATTTTTTCCCCACACGTAACGGAAAATAACGATCAATAAGTGACATTTCTTTTGCAGATATTACTTCATGCAACACCAAAGGGTGGAGGGGGGGGAGGGTCCCCTTAAATCGTCTCTGACAAAACCAAGTCATTGTTTTTGCTGGATTCCTGGTCGCTCTGGTCGTCGGTGAAGCACACGTCCACGTCGCTGTCGTTGTCGCTTTTGCGGTCGGCGTCGTCGAACGGGCCGCCCGGTTTGTCGTCCAGCTTCTTCAGAGTCTGTCCCGGGTGCCTGGACTTCACGTGCCGCTCCAGGTCCCGCCTCCGCACGAGCACCTTCCCGCAAAAGTCGCACCTGTAGGGCGTGTTGCCCTCCGCGTGCAGCCGGATGTGCTTGTTCAGGTTGCTCGGGTCTCCAAAGGGCCTGAAGCACACCTTGCATTTGAGAGGCTTGTAGCCCGTGTGAGTCCTCATGTGGATCTTCAGGCCGTACTTCCGGGAGTACAGCTTCCCGCAGTAGAGACACAGGTGGCCCTTCTTGGGTTTGCCGGAGCCGGTGGAGCCGGTGCTCCCGGCGGGCACCGAGTCCAGCCGAGCCCGACTCTTATCCGAGCCGATCTCCGACAGCTGCTGCGTGTGCATGGCGATCTCCCGGTCAATGTTCGTGATGGAGCCCAGGTCCTGGCTCAGCGGGGGGCCGCCAAAGTAGGGCACAGAGTCCGGGTACTTGAGGAGGTTGCTGAAGTGGAATTTGAGCGGGTAATAGGGGGAGCTGTACAGGAGCTCCCCGTTGTAGACGGTGAAGGGCATCAGCGGGATGTTACAGTCTCCGCCGTACGTCTTCACGCCGTCGAAGTGAGGAAGTGAGAACCTTTCAAAGTGCAGGCCGGGGGGAATCTGGGGGTACCGGGACGGGGACAACCCGGTGTGTATGCGACTCTCGACGTGCTTGAAAGCCGACGTTTCCTCCACGTGCTGCAGCAGTGGGAACCCCCGGATGGGATTCCCGCACGGGACCATCGGAGACGTGGAGTCCACGATGGCGGGCGCGCACTTTGGAGGGTGGTTCCCGGCCCCGTTAAGGGCCTCGCCCAGGTTACGGATTGGCTTCATGTTCCCGACGAGCTTACTGAATCCGAGGCCGCTCAGTTTGCCGCCGGCCTCTTCTCTGGACGCCTCCCCGCCCGGGACTTTAGAGACGCCCGTAGGCTTGAAAGCGGAGCGCACGCCCGGATGGAAACCCATGCTGCCCAGCACTGAAGACGCTGCTCCCAGTCCGAGGAGGTGTCCCTGGTTCCTGGCTGACGCAACGCTCATGTCGAGGGCCCGGTCCTGCCCCTCGGCGCTGCTTTTCTTCGACAGTCCGCTTTTGTTGTTCGGGAAGGGCGAGGAGGACACCGCCCGCCGGTTCGAGTCAGAGGAGTTGCCGTGGCCGGAGGTGTTGGGAATGTCTCCGGACTTGGGCGACCTGCTGAAGGACTCGGTACCTCTGGCCTGCTCGCCGCTCACGAAGCCCCGCCCGTTGCTCAGAGCGCAGTGGAAGTGGACGTGGGCCTTGAGGGTGTTGGGATATTTGAATATTCTCCAGCAGTACCAGCAGATGTAACGCTCCTCACCTGCGGAGGGAAAACAACCACATTGACAACAAGGTCACCGCAGATCCAACGAGACAAAGTGGAGACCCTGAAATATGTTTGCAGCACATCCGGACATGAGCGACCAAAGATGCCCGACAGAGGCCCGTGTGAAGGGCGCATAACTTCACACAGAGAATCTGAAGACATGACATTCATCCACATATTATTCAGCATGAATTTTACATGTTTTTCCACTTTAAAATGCAATTTTTTATGAAAATGCTCCTAAGAAACTGACAAATGTTCTTCAGGGAGAACTCTTGTTATGTCAACCACTGGCAATTTTGTACGTGGAACCTATGGCTCTCTGCCTTGGGAGGAACGTTAAAAGGGGGGCGACAGAACAATTGTTGGACCCTTTCTTCCATTGTCTCACTGCTTTTCCAGTCAAAGAAAGGAAGTGTCCCAGTGTGCGCTGTACAGTGGTGATAAAATGTGACTTACGGCGCTGACACTGAAACAATTTGAAAAACCTCATGCTGTCAAATTAAGGGGAACGTTTTATTGTTTTAGAGTTTCCAGAGTCAATTTGTTCAAAATCTAAAAACTCCCCAGACTTGGACTGGGTCATTTCACGCTGACAGGAGATTTCTTAGAACGACAACAGAAACTGATTTCATTCCATGCACACTGTGACTGCAAAGACATTAAAATGACTGAACAAATGATACACCTATTTAATTCGTGAGCACAGCTCAGAAAACTCTTCACCTCATCTATTGAGTTGGCATTGACTCAGACATGGCAGTCGGATCAAAAGGGTGAATGAGAAAAACCTGAAAATTTTTCATTTAACAAAACACGTAAAGTCAATAATATGAAGAAATGATGTGAATTTATTTACTTTTTTGTCTTTTAGTTTAGGTTTGTATTGTTTTAAATGACATGAGCATCAGGGTGGGTGGGTGGCTTCTGCTTTGGGCCCCCACATTTTTTGGACTGGCTTTGCTGTTTAATTCAACTTTCAGAAAATATAAATAAAAATAATCCGAGGGTAAAATTCCTCGCTGTTTTGTTCATCAATGAAACATTACAGCTCGTCATTATCAATAAATCACTACATTATCAGAGTGACTAAAAAAAAAAAAACGATAGATAAACAAATAAATAAAGATCTCCACCCCCGCGCTGCGCACCATGGGCAACGAAATCCGCTCCTAAGATCTGGTGCCAAATGGTAATAGACTCCGGGAGCCATTCTAATGGCCCCCAGTCGGGCACTCAAAAGATAATATAGATGTAATGATTTTGTAATCCTCATACGGGCCATTGTTTATGATCACCATCAAAAGGGCAAACGCCCTGCCCAATCTGGCGCTCCGGAGCCGGGACCCATTGAACGCGAGCCCTCTCCCTCTCTGCGCGCTTTCCCGTGGAAGTGACAGCAGCTGTTGCTTGAAATCGCAAGTCTCCAGAAACAATGGCGCGGGCCCATCTGTTGACGCCTCAATAATGGAGAGGGGGGGGGGCGTATTGCGTGAGGGGGGAAGGAGAGGGGAGTGAGCGCGTATGTCCAGGAGCGCACACACGGTGCGCGCTGCGCCGGAGAATCCGGGCAATATACACTCGACATAAAAGTTCGCATTCATGAGGCCACAATACCTTAACGCAGCCACCTAATTCAGCGTGAAGCGCCTGTTTTTGAATTATTTGCTTTTGAATACATGAATATTAACGTCGGTGTGACATTCGTTAACCTCCAACGAGCGAATGAATCGCTTCTTCTTCCCTCGACGCTCACCGAGGCGCGTCGGTTTCTGCGTTTAATTGCTTTTTATTATTACTATTTAAGCACCGTAATTACATCGCCACAATTTTTGCCTTTTTTTAAAAAAATACTGACTCTGAAACCATATCAGGGTTTTGTTCTTGTTTTTTTCGGATTGTTTTGAACAAAGACGACTTAACAGCTCGAAACAATTCGTGTCATTGTCTGATGAAGGAATTTCACTGGAAGTATCTGTTGATAATCTGCTCTGTAATGGGATTATAGGCTCTGATGAGGCGCTAATCCCCCAAGCGCAAACATTAGATTATTAATACTAATAGCCGAACAAGAGGATTAACCACATTTGCTGATTCTCGAATCCCCGTTTATTATTATTATTATTATTATTTAATTTGTCGTTGTTTCGAGCATATGGAACACAGGTGGATCGTATCACGGTGCATCAAAAATATCCCCTCTGTTTGGACGAGGTTTTTCTTTTTTTTTCATTCTCTACGCGCAATTTATTTTCTCACTTTTTCCCATTTGAAGCAGTTTTTTTCCCCTTCTTTTCTTTAATCAAAACTAAACTGCTGCGGATGTCGGTCATTTATGCTCTCGTTAAAAACAATTAAATGAATGGGAAATAAAAAAACAAAAAAGACCCGACGGGACGCGGTTCATGACCTCCTCTTGGCAATAAAACGACGACGTTCGATCGCTGACAAATTGCGCAATGACGCGCAATGATAAAAGCTGTACGGTTGTTTCTTGTTGTTGCGTGAAATATATATGCGTGTGATATTAGCATAAATCCATTGCGCATTGTCGGTGTCGCTCACCTTTTTCGTCGTGCGTGGGAGTGGCCGTGGTGGGGATGTCGTACCACTGGGCGAGAGGGTTGGAGTACCACACACTCAGCTCCTCTCCCGCTGGGATTTCTCTCAGGACTCGGTAGAAAATCTAAATAATAATAATAATTTTAAAAAATAGATTATTTTTCTCTCTCACTCTCTTTTTTAATGTGACTTTATTCCCACTTAAAATCCACAGAGTAAAGTGGGACGTCGTGGCATTAAAAAACACAAACAAACAAAAACAATTCACCTGTCCGCCAGGTAAGTCCGACACTGCCTCCAGGTTTTGCTCTTGGCTGTTCCTGGCGGCGCGGATGAATCCGATCCAATCGGGCACAGGACAGCCCGACTCGTCCACGAACTCTCCGCGCAGCAAACGGATCTGAGACAGGAGAGGGAGAGAAACAGGTTGAGCAAATCCGAAAAAACGAAATAAATAAATAAATAAATAAATAATAATAATAATAATAATAATAATAATAATAATAATAATAATAATAATAATAATAATAAAAGAAACAAGATCGCACCGGAATGGACCTAAACGAAAACTTGATTTGTTTCTTTTTTTTTTCTTTTTTTTTTTTTTGCGTCTTTCCCCTTCAAGATCACATAAGCCACCTTTTTATTTCGGATGTTTGTACTAGAATTTTATCAAGCACGTCTTTTTTGGGGGGGGGGGATATCGCGACTTTCTGTGTGCAGTCGGGTGTAGAGGTGGAGGTGGAGGTGGAGGTGCTGCGGCCGCTGTTGGGAGCACAGCGCACTCAGCGCGTCTTTTATCCGCTCTGCTGATAATTTCCTAAAGAGAGCGGCGGACGGGCCTAATTGACTTGATATGGGAAACGAATTTGAAGAGTGTCAGAGCGTTTCTGAACTGTTCCAGGAGATCAGGGATCGAGGCGTGACATTTGACACAGACATTTATTTGCACCTGATGATCCCCCCCCCCCTCATCGTCGCAGCCCCTGGATGGGGGGCCGCATTTAGACGCATCAATCACAGCCGCTGACAGCTTTCTGCAATTAATAAACAACAACAACAACAACAAACACTCGTTTTAAATCGCAAAATAAAGGCGATATTTTTTTTAATTAAAAAAAAATCTTTATTTTTATTTTATTTTATTTTTTGCAGAAAATAGTTTCTTATATTTTTTTCAACTATCAAATATTTTTGTCAACATTTCAATTTAAAAAATTGTCAATATTTCTAACGCAGTACATTGGGTCGCGGCTGAATGACCCCGGAGCGGTTTGTTGTTTCTTTTTGGTGTTTTTTGGAGCATTTTTCCGCTTGACAATTTCTCGCCGCCTGCAGGCGAAGGGAGGCCCAACACCCCAACACCCCGACACCCTGACAACCCGACGTCTTTCTGTGGCCGGATCCCATTGACAGTAAGCGGCTCATCGGAATAACGGGCCCGGCAGGCCGGGAAGCGGCGAGGGCGCACACCCGGGTCCACCCATTAGGCCGGTTAGGCTGACAAGTCAGCCACTAATGGAGCTCAATTATTTCTAACCTGACAGGCCAAAGCAATTAATAAATCGCGTCTCAATGAAATTTGACAAGTCAGTAAAAAAAAAAAAAAAAAAAAAAAGGATACATTTTTTTTCATCTGCTATTTTGAACAGATGAAAATATAAACCGAAACGTGTAATATTTAATTTTTTTTAAATGGCAGCTATATAAATAGAAATAATTAATACTGTATAATATCTTTAAAAAAACAAATATAAGAAATATATATAAAATAATGACATTTTGAAACCTTAACTGTACAGATATGCACGTTGAGAGTTTCCGGCTCACTTTTTTTTTCGCTCCGACGTCCCTGCGGTCCGACAGGTACTTCCCCAGCTTGAAGACGCCCGGTACCGGTCCCATCCGGAGCCCGGCCGGGACGCCGCAGTCCGCAAACACACTGACGGTGGTGGACGCCCGGGTGGCTTGCATGGCGCGGGGTGAGATCAGAACCATGAAGACTGATGGAGACCGGAATGCGACAGAGCGCGCGCATGCAAGGGACGGGAGGAAGAGGAGGAGGAGGAGGAAGAAGAAGAAGAAGTCGAAGAGGAGGAGGAAGATGATGAGGACAGGCCGATGTCCGCCCTCAAAGTGACGCGGTGGCGTTATGCTCTCCGGCTTTTCTAGTTATGGAGCACACCCCGGACACCCCTCTCTGCACGCACGCACACACACACACACACACACACACACACACACACACACACACACACACACACACACACACACACACACACACACACACACACACACAAGATTATCTGAGGATGCAATGGGAAGAAGAACAAAGTGGGTGCTGCAGAGAGGTGATGCTGGTTTGCGTGGGGGATTGGGGAAGCGGGGGGGGAGCGCGTCCTGAGTTTGTAGCAGCGGTGAGAAGGTGTGTGTGTGTGTGTGTGTGTGTGTGTGTGTGTGGTGTGTGTGTGTGTGTGTGTGGTGTGTGTGTGTGTGTGTGTGTGTGTGTGTGTGTGTGCGTGCGTGCGTGCGTGTGTGTGTGTGTGTGTGTGTGTGGGTGAGTGTGAGAGAGTTGGGCTCTCCCAGCAGCTGTGTGCAGAGGGGAAAACGGGCCGGGCCTGCGCTCACATGGAGACTTTCCCTCACTCCGCCTCATAATGAATTGCTCCCAAAACGGTCAAGAGACACAAAGGAGCCCGGCGACCCTTCCCATCCCCGAAATCCAATTTGTCAAGGCCAGAGAAAGGAGAGCGCGGAATCAAAGGTCCGGAGCGGCCATTAATCCTCTCCACGCAGCTTTGTCCTCCGGACAGTTCCGATATTTTCACTGACAAATCCACTGTATAATTCCTCCATAAATCCTCACCCTTCTCCATTCAGGGAGTTTTTTTTTCTTCTTCTCCTTTGGCCATACTTTAAATCTACTTGGCTGCCATTCTTACGGCTTCTACTTACTTCAAAGGGCTCCTCTCCCCTCCTCTTCCTCCTCCTCCTATTTTTTTGTCCTTAGTGTGAACAAAAGGAGCAGGAAAGTTTAGAGGACTTGTTAACTTCTATTGACTCTCGGCGTGTGCCGGGTTGAGATCGGGCAGGTACCGAAAGGGGAGGACCAGCAGCAGCAGGAGAGAGAGAGAGACAGAGAGAGAGAGAGAGAGAGAGAGAGAGAGAGAGAGAGAGAGAGAGAGAGAGAGAGAGAGAGAGAGAGAGAGAAACACATCATCTTCCTAGCGCGCGCATATTGGTGTTTTCCTGTCTCCTCGTGCAATGCGTTCAGCTGTTTTATTCTGCACGTTGACAAAGACAAGGAGGGAACAATCATCGCATAATTTTAATAGCACCCATCGGAGAACCCGAGTTGCGATTTAGTTCGACTTCAGGATCGATCGTCGGCTGGTTTCCGAAATTTGAATGACTGTGGCAGAGAAGAATCGGCACCAGCGTGATGTGAACGGATCGTGTAGTAAAAAGAAAAGTGTTTAAATGCAGCAAATTTACTGTTTGGATATATTTTTTTCTGTAGTGATTTCAAACCACAAGAGGGGGAAAAAAAATCAGGAGTAGCCATTAGGAGAGTGACACAGAGGCTCGATCGACTAATTAATTGGTTGATGGATCGATTTGTTTTTGCAATTAACTTCTGAAAGCAAAAAAAAAATCCCGGGAGCTGGAAAAGCCACTTAGTTGATTTATTTATATATTTATTTGCTTGTTTATTTTTTGTTTGTTTTGTTGCTGTTGTTTGCAGCTTCTTGCGTGGTGAGGTGAGTTTTTTTTATCAAAAAATATTCGAGAAAAAAGAGAAACGATGAAATCACCATAGTTTCGACATCAACACGTGGCCTTCAAAGGAGGATTTCCACTGTAAAAAAAATCTCCATCAGAGCAAGCTTACTCTGTTTAGCTCTTGAACCTATGAGTTCTTGCACTATTTGTTTAAGCAGAGTTTTTTTTAATTAAAAACCCGCTCATTTCCGAAGAAAATGAAAATAATCACAGCGTAATTAAGACGAGAACGCATGACACGATTTAAGGGTTTGTTGCCGGGTCAGAGAGGGGCAACAACAACCTGTAGGCGGTCAGTCCAGACCGTGCCTAAAGTGACCTCTGACCTGTCCACTCTGGCCTCCCAATTAAAGTGAAACCTACTGAGAAAACCAGACCGGAGGAACAACAGACACTATACACTGTAAAAAAAAAAAAAAAAAAAAGACTTTGGAAGAATGTTACATTGTAGTCATTTAAATATGGTAACAATTCCTGCCAAAAACATTTATTTTCTCACAAATGTTGGTTCGTTCCTGTGTGCTGCATAAAATGGCTGATATGTTTTCATAAATGGCACAAGGCTTGCAGTTCAGAGCATTTCTGAGTTTGGATCATGAATTGAAGACGTGGATCTTAAGCTTAGCTGTAAAACTCAAAGTTGCTCCCATTAGGACAGTCCTTGCAAGGAACATCATATCAGTGGTTGTCAGAAACATCAGCCTTTTTCAGACTGGTTTAAATGTTTGAGTATGTCACTAATGTTTTATGCATCCGCTAATTGCTTTGTTGACCACAACTGAAATTGACATTTAAATTGATTTACTTCACCCATCTTTCAGCTGCTAGACGTCCGTCCTTTATTTTTTTAATTCAGAAAAATAGATTACAGCCTTTTAAAAAAAAGTGTGCACAGCAACAAGTTGTGTTTGATGGCTAATTCAGTTTTTGTGCATAAATGCATTCAGAAAAAACACAAAACTATCTTATTTATTTATCTTAAAGCGAGTCTTTGTCACGCTGCCCATTCTGCGCTCTTTCAAAAAAAAAAAAAACGACACGCGAACAATCTCGTCAATGGGCGCAATGTTTGCGCCAAGCTGAGCGGAGGGGTTATTTATTAACTCCCCGGCCTTTTGCGACTGGTTCCCATCCCATGCGTTCCGCACTCACTTCTCCACATTGAAATTAATGAATCTCCTGAAGAAGGAGGCGAAGGGTGAAAGAAGGGGAAAGACAGAAAGAGAGAGAGAGAGAGAGAGAGAGAGAGAGAGAGAGAGAGAGAGAGAGAGAGAGAGAGAGAGAGAGAGAGAGAGAGAGAGAGAGAGAGAGAGAGACGTTTCCTTTCTGTTTTGCGGAGAATCCGCTGTGGTGAATCCCCCGGCGCACTGTGCGCCTCGGAGCCCCGAGGAGCGGCCAAAAGACTCGGTGTGAGAGTGAAGGCATCACTGGGAGCAAATGGGATGGAAAATTAAATGAAATTAAATGGCCTCACCAGGGACTATTGTTCATCCTCTCTTTTATTTATACAAAAATAAAAAAGAAAAGACATTAATTACATGCTTGGATCTTTACTCGGGGACAATATTGCGGAGTCAATTAAACGCGCTTCTATAGGCGGGAGCTCGATCTCTTTAATGAACTTAAATAACGATCTGAGAGAAGAATCGGAGCTGGGAGAAGGAGGGCGACGTTTTTATGGGCGGCTCTGTCCACTCCGGCCAGCCTCCTCCGCACCCCCTTTTTTTTTTCTTTTAAAGGGGGGGAGGGGGACTCATCCGTCTAAACGGTGGGGCTCGCTGATTTAACTGGTTGGCCCATTAATGAGCCATGAATATAGAGGAACAACCTGCCTGCAAAGCAACGCGGTAAATACAGCCTGCAATGCCCCACCAGGGATCTCCATTCAGGCTCCGTGACTGCGAGGCCTTGCTTAACTTGTGCCAAAGGTTCACCACCACCACCAACAACAACCACCTCTCCTCTTCCGCCTTTATTGGCCTTCCCATTTGAGGCCGCAGGAGAGAAAACACATTTTTTATGTCGAGCCCATAAACTTTTCTCTATTCAGGACGTTGGAGAAGGGGTGGGAGGGGGTGCGGGGAAAAAAGGCCCAATCATTGTCCCCAGTTTACAGCGCGGCCCGTTTCCCACGTTGCAGAGATCCCTCCGCGTTTGTCCCGGATCGGTTTATTGAAGCGACCGAAACCTAAATCTTCGGTGCTTTTCGAACAACCAGAAGTTATTATCGTTCGCTTCAGCTGTGCAAGGGAAAGAGAGGAGAGATGGATGGCGGCGTTGGGTGGGATATGGGAGATGGGGATTACTCCACTTTGGTGTGGCCAGATTTTAATCTGAAATTATGTACAGCCAACAGTGAAAAGACTGGAATATATTTCACTCGGTTTTACAATCACTTCGTTTCTATTGCAGTGTTTATCCTCCTTTGTTAAACAAGATACATTGCTACACGAAACATTAAATGGTGAACTTTCTTACACCTTCACACTTCACACAATGAATGGCAACGTTTGACAGAATCAGTATTTATACAAATACTCAGGATTTATTGCCAAAAAAGTAGCTAATATTGTTCAAATTAAACCATTGTTGAGCATTGTATTCGCAAACTAAAACATTTAATTAAAACTATATATATATATACATTTAATAAAAGTGTTGATAAAATTTCTTGTTACAAAGAGGCATGCTAGCAAGCTTGACTTTAGTATTAGCATATAGTTAGTTAGCTAAAATTATCCAGATTTTAGCTAACTTAGATGCTAAATCCACTTATTTTTCCCCCCTTGAACATTAGATTCACAAACAACAACCTATAAGAAATTCAAAATTTCAGTTGCTCTACAAAATATCCTTTTATATCATAGCCTGCTAGCAAGTTTCACTACAGCTTGGTACACTGTCATTAAACATGCTAAAGATTTATGCAACATTGCCCCAACATTGACTTGTTACAGTCCTTAATTTTGACCAAGTTGATATATTCTTTGTTAATACAACTCACATAATGTCTTAGCATTTCCTTATAGCACACGCCAAACAACAACAACGTGGTGGTTGGAACCAACTCCCTCGTTAGCATGCTAATGAAAATGTTTAGGTAGGATTTGTCAGCAAGATAAATTAGCTAATGTTCTTTTTGTTTAACACCGCTGAACAATACATTTGCAAACCAATATGGCCAAAGTGTAATTAATCACATTTGGTCATTTTTGCAGGTTTGACTTTAGCTTTAGCGCTTTCACTGAACGGATCAGAGCTGGATGACGTAAACGTTCCTTGTGCTCCAACAGGGTTCTCAAGAACGAAAAAGCGTTTTAATGACAACTATACGCCCCCAGATTCCTTTTCACAAGATACAGTAAATACAAATTTTTTTAAAAAAAAAGTCTGGCTTTGGGATCAGTGCTAACGCTAAGCTAGTCAAAGCTATAACTTATACCCAAAATACGGGACAGTTGCTTTGTTTTGCTTCACAACCACAAGTTTTATGGTACTTCTTATTAGTCTGACCCACATGAAAGCATCACTCATCTCCTGACAACAATCTGTGATGGAGTTGTTTACTCTGAGTGTTTGACATTGCAAACCAACAGACTTAATTGAAATCTCAACGCCACACCATAATTCAACACCCGCATACAGTTTCTTTTTGCAGCTTTGACTTGGAAGACGTTTTGGTCCCTGGGAACCCCGGGGAAAAGACGCAGCCCGCGCCCCGCAGGAGCGGACCAGCTGCCCGGGTGCGGGTGGGACATTAGCGACGCGTTTGAATAGTAATCATGCTTGTATGGGACTCCCACCAGATGACATGATTGGGATTTTAAGGCCAGACTAATATTCAAAATCGCATTAGAGAGCGGCCGAGTGAACGGCACCTGATTCAGCGGCGCTCATGCGTGATGTCATTCAGGATGCCTCCTCCCTCTCTCTCTCTCTCTCTGTTTTTTTCCCCTCTCCTTCTTTCTCGCCCTCCCCTCCTAGAAGTGGGCTGCGCCGCTTCGGCATTCAAAGTCTGAGCAAAGTTCCTCACTTAAGGCCGACGTCCTCTCGCATGAGGAGGCGCGGATAAAGGCGCGTGGAGAAGTTGCGTGAATTGATGTGTTTCGGTGTTTCCTTATAAATTCATACCTTTTCTCACTCGAGCGCCTCGGAAAGCGAAGTGTCACTCAGGCCGATTCTCTCTGCTGTCCGGCGCATTTAGCGGCGGGCCCGTCCAAAGGGGAGCGTTCCCGAGGCACATTGTATGCAGGGATGGCCGCGGGTGAATGGAGCGGCGTGTCCGCCGACCCTAATTGGGGATTTTTGTGTGTGTGAGTATATGTGTGTTGTGTGTGTGAGTATATGTGTGTGTGTGTGTGTGTCACCCAAAGCATGTCCACAAAGTGACAGAAAATGGCTGGTTTCAAAGAGAAGTCTCAACTTTTGCCCCCCTTTGGAGAATATTCCAAGTCAATCCGCGTGTTTCTCATGGGGATGCAGGTTGTTGACCCGGCTGGGACTTTCGGGTCGCTTCTGCAGCCCAAACAACGGGAGCAAAAACAACTACAGTGGCAAAGAGCACGTTTAGAGACATGCAGCTTTGACTTCCGTGTGACCGATCGGGTGCGTGATGGAGAAAAATATACATTATTGACCAGAATTAACAATTTACGCTCGGAAATGATAAGCAGTCCTTATTGTTTCAGGGTTATATTGTATATAGAGAAACTTTTCATTACAAACGTTTAACGCTTTCTGTGAAAAGACGCACGAGAGGAGAGGTTTGCGCAAAAATAAATAAATTAAAAAAAGACAATTTGCGTCCTAGACAAAGCAACATGGAGAGATTGTGCAAGCACGCACAATCTGTTTACTTAGTCGCATCACTTGCATTAAAGCGACATCTCTCTCTTTCTCTCTGTGTAATTTTGTTACCCAGACCGGTGTTGTTGTTTTTGGACGTCCTTCAGGTTGGTTGCGCACCACGCTCATATTGCGCTGCAACAAAAATGTTATCTAATGGCCGGGCAGTCTGCAGACTCCTCGTTACGCGGGGCCTGAACGCGCGACTGACGGTTCCGGCTTCAAACTAACTGACTCATCAGAGTTCAGGTGGGGTGAGCTCGTGGAAGTGACGCGTGAAGTGAAGTATGCAGGGTAATCTTGCAAATGATTTCCATGCGCATGCAATGGATCAAACAGTGCAGTTTGAATGTGCTCCGTAGCTGTCTTGAAATGATGGCGAGCCCATGTGGCAACAAGTGATGTTAATTTAGAGCCAGGCCTATTCAAGAAGGATGAAACAACTTAAAAAAAAAACTCATTAATTAACCCTCTCAGGCTCAAATTACTTGCAAAGACTAGCTAAGCATTGAGCTGTTGCAAATCTTCAACATCTGCCTGGAGAGGGTTAAAAGTAAAAGCTTATTTTGTGTTATTTATAAAATAATGTACAGTACGTAACTAACTACAATTGATTGGAATGATGTTTATTTACATCTAAACTACAAATATTACATTTTCTTTTTAAGATTATTTCATACAAACACTTTGATATTTATTATCAAAGTCCATCCCAGTTGGACTGCTTGCTTTGGTTTCTCGTTTATTCTACTGTTTCTTGGAAAATGCATATTGAAATCTGTTTATTGTGTTGGCTGCTTTTGTTGTTTTTTTGTGTTTTTTTGAATTAAAAACTTTTTTTTCTTTTTTGTCATTGTACAGTTTTAGAATCAAACATTAAATCTGCTTTTTTTGTGATTTTGCTGATTTCAAAAAAAAATTTAAATAGCTACGTAAATAAATAAATGTGCAAATGAATGACAGCGACAGAAATCTCCCTCCGCTCTGACATCGATCGTCTCGCTCTTGGGGTTTGTCGCATCTCTCCACTCGCTGTCCCCGGAGCCGGACGCTGAGCGTCTTTGGCACACGGCGCCCAGATCTCTCCCAATCAGCAGCGGGGGAAGAAGGTGTTTGGATGTGGATGGAATGAGGACAGGAAACGGCTGTGAGCCGTCACGTCCAACCGGGACGGGATTTGACTGACTGATCCTTTGGTCCACTGGGAAAGCGTCGGGACCCCTCAGGTGCCTCTGTCTGCTCCCTCACGACTTTCTCACCCTTCATCAGCCCACGCTCCTTGACGCCGACCTCTTTACGTTACATTACGACGCCGAAACTCAATAGAGTTGATCAAGGTAGTGCAGAAGTGCAAAGGTCAAGGAAAGTGACAGTTTTCAACGGTTTTACACATAAAAAAAAATCTACAAAATTGATTAAGCTTCCTTTACTCTGACGACTCTAAATGAAATCCAGTGCATTCAATGGCCTTTAGACACAAACCTGATTAAAAAAAAAATAATTGTGACTTTTTTCCCCTCGCAATTTTGACTTTAATCTTCTGAGAAAAAAGTCAAACTTCTGCGCTTCACATCAATTCTCTTTTTTTTTTCCCAGTGGTCCTAGTCCTCCTTTGTATTTATAAGTCATTTAGATTTATCAGGGTTTTTTTACGACTGGTTAAGGAATGTTGTCATTTAGACAAATAGGAACACCGAACACAAATTGTGTTGGAGGGGGGAAAAAATATAACCATAACTTTACACATCTCACAATTTTATCCATCATCTGTGCATCACCCTGAAATCACTCTTCCCACAGTAAAACACAGTGGAGGTAGAATCATTCTGGGAGGATGTTTTGATATCTGTTGGGACTTGATGAGAGGATGGATTTGGTTGGTGGTAACATGACAAATTGTGAAAAAAAATTAAAGGATTTAAATAGTTTTGCAAAAGCAGTGTGTCTCTTTATGTTCAGGAAATGATCACCACTGTGTCACTTCATTAAATGGCATTCTCGGTCTTGAACCAAAATTCTTTCTTGAAGACATCAAATAAAAGAAAGACACGGTTATTGAATGCTGGTAACTTTATTTATGGCAGGTGGGGAACAAGGAGAGGGTGTAAGGCACATAAACATTGAGAAGCCATGGCCTGTTTTTTTATATATATATCTTCAGTGTGTGGCAAGGGGTCATTGGTGGTTCTCTTATCCAGGCCACAGGGCAAAGGTCAGCACACAAACATGGGATTTTTTTTTTTTGGTCAGTGCAAAGCTCAAAGGGAATGGAGGTTTAAGGGCAAGAGGAGGTCACCGGGGAGTTTGCGATCCTCACTCGACATCGGAGTCATCGGCTGCACCAGTGATGGTGTAGGTCTGTTCTTGGTGGTCCATCTCCAGCACATCATCCTCCTTTTTAACTGTTCTGTAGGGGAGGAGAAAAGACCAGACAGAATAATGAGAAATACTCTGATAACTGGTGGAGCTGTGGTTAAACTCATATAAATCATGAGGATCAGTGTTACCAAATTAGTTCGGTTACAGTTTCCGAGTTCGAGTCACACGTTTTAAAGAGGTTTATTCAAAAAGTTGGGCAGCGGTACTTTTACCTGATAAGCACTGTTCTTCTCTCTGTCAGCTCCACAGCCTGCTCTACATAGGACTCCGGATCGGATCCAATCTTGACACCACATATGTCGCCCTTCCCTCCACCAGTCCTACCAACTCCGCCATCGCCTGACAGAGCAACACCCGCATCGTCCACGCCCCTTTCTGCACGTCCGGCAGCACTTGAGATTCCTCTTCGTGTTTCAGAAAGCACCACTCCATGGGCTGTACCTCCATCACCACCCATTCCACCATTAACCCTAGTGCCCTTGCCCTCAGTTGCACCTCCTCTTCCAAGTCCCATTCCTGCTGCACTCACGCCACCTGAGCTGTCACCATCCAATAGTGCGCCAGCCCCACCACTGCCACCCATTTCTCTGGAAATAAGTCCCACACCACTAACAGCAGTGTCCAACCCAACACCCTTAATTTCAGCTTCAGCTGAATGTACACCACCTGCTGAGCTCAAGATGTCTCCATCTGCACGTGTTTCAACTCCACTGCTGTCACCTATTCCCCCAGAACCAAATCCTACCCCACCAACACCAGTATCCAAACCAGTACTTCTGCCTTCCATCTCACCGCCATATCCTCTTTTGAATCCAAGTCCAGTGGGACCCACACCACCTGCTAACCCTGAGATGTCACCATCTGCATATGCTCCGACTCCACTTCTGTCCTCCATTCCTCTATGGATAGATCCCTCACCACCAAAATCAGTACCCACGCCTGGAGTGCCAAAACCAGAACCCTCTGGACCAGTGCCTAAAACACTAGCACTAGAGCCAACTGTACCCACTTTACCAGTACCAAGAGCAAAGCTATCAGAGCCAAAACCACTACCACCAGAAGCACTCATTCTTCCATCACTGCCAAGACTTTCATCACCTGCTCTGACACCTACACCTCCCTGTTCAATATCTGCTCTGCCAGCGGGACCTTTCATATCACTGGTACCCCTGCCATCCAGAACTTTTCCATTGCCAGATCGTGATCCCGTGACTCCATCAACCATATCCGCACTCAATCCAGAACCACCCACCATGCCTCCACCTCCTCGTCTGCTGCCTCCTGTTGGTCCACCACCCAAACTGCCAACACCATCAATGCTTCCTCCGCTGATGCTCACCCCAGCACCAACGGCGCTCATGCTACAACTGGTAATAGAGAGAGAATTCATCATGCCAGAGAGCCGCAGGTCTTCCCCCTCAATTAATTTTCTGCAAAGAGAAAGCAAAATGATCTTTTTGTCTCAAGGTTTACTTCAGTACACAGAGTTCACTGAAAAATCTGACTGCTTGGGGTGTACCTGTATGTGGTAATTTCAATTTCCAAAGCCATCTTGATGTTTAAAAGTTCTTGGTACTCACGCAGGTGCAGGGCAATTTTTGTCTTGGTGGATTTTAGCTCAAGCTGCAGGGCCTCAATCCGAGCCTGTGGAAACAGATGTGCTGAGGTGGTTATTTGATCGCTGTGGTGTGATCAGCTGTCCACCCTGGGACCACAGGAGCCCACGTTTACCTGCAGCTCTTCCAGCTCCTTCTTATGCTTTTCCAGCGTCTCTCGAATCCGTGCTTCAAGGGCTTCGTTTTTGGTCCTCAGGGAGTCCAAATCACGTTCTTTGTTTTGGATCTAGCAGTGTTTTGCAATAAATGATGCAAAGTGTTGGCAGAATGTAGAATTTCTTTTCTACTTGCGCATATCAAATTAAGATACTCACATCCTTCTTGGCCCCAGCTATTTCTTCCCTGACACTTCGAACTTTGTCCACGTGTCTTGACGTCTTCTTTGTTAAATCTTCAAACTTGTTCTTGTACCATGAATCCATTTCCTAAGGTAGGAAGTTAAAGTAGTTTAATTTGCAGTGTGACTGAAACATACTGCAGATTTGTCTTTTTGCGCTTAGCAGCGACTCACCTGAAGGTTTTTGGCTGCGATGTCGTCGTATTGGGTTTGGATTTGCTTCAAAGCGCCAGCCAGGTCGGGCAGAGAGAAGGTGCTCTCGGCCGATACGTGGGCGGCGTAGATCTGCTTCATTAGCTCTTCGATTTCCTATAAGAAGAGGAGATGTTTTAGGAATCATTTAGGAGGGAATAATTTCTCCCGCAGACACTTCATCTACCTGATGATGGATCCGTTTCAAGAATTCGATTTCAACCTCCAGCTGCTCCAGCTTTTTCTCCAAAGCAATCCGGGAGGAAGTGGCTTTGTCTACATCCTGGACACACGTTACAAAGCCTTGACTGTAACGTGTTTATGATTGCAGGCTTTTCGTTGTAAGCAGGTACAGCAATAAAATAGCACTCACTGGACGGAAGGCTTCAATCTCTAACTCAGCCTTCTTTCTCAGCTCCAAGGCCTCCTCATATCGGATTTTGATTGCCTCTAGTTGACCAGCTGCAGCCTCCTTTGCAGCAAAAGAGATGTCCTGAAAATAACCAGAAGTAACTCTGTTGTGCATTAAAAGCCTATCATTATTCTTCCAGACACATAGTGCCACATTATAGCAGAATCAAGTACTTATGTTACTGTCAGTTGCTATAGAATTACTTTATATAGCAAACATGACTTAAAAAGAAATTGACTTTGTAATGTAACGCCTGCAAATTGGGCCTCTGTCTCTTTAAGAAGCTCCTGCTCTTTTCAACGCTCCGCCCTTGCTAAATTGCAAAATCTTCTTCTTCCTTTAGTATTTTTTGGCAGTTTGCAAAAAACCTGAGGTCTCCATTACCGCCACCAAATGGAATAGAGTGTGGACTGAAACAGCAGTCTTTGTCGACGGAGGAGCTTGATAATACCACCAGTGTTGCACAGTTGAAGAGTTGCCACTATTAAAGGATTTCTCAAACACGAATGAGTCAAGGCAACACTCCAGCCATAAGTTTTTGATGAGGGAATAATGTAAAGCTCAAAAAAGTGAATTTGACACAATACTGCCCATTTAAATTTGAAGGTGAACCCCAGGATGTGTCTGGAATGTAGCACACCTCATTCAATCCCATTTGCATTTGCTGCACTGTCCCCCCTGCGTCTGGGTGACTGTGTGCGAGCGAATGCATGAGCAAGTCATCAACTGTGCATGAAGCATAACCGATGACAGCTGTACTCTGTGACACCTAAACGCACCCAGGCACCTCTACATTTGCCTGCCAGAAATCGGCACGTTTTACCAGGTAAAGAACCCTGAAAACACCAAGTTGACGTCTTGTAGCATCGCTCGAGCAGAGCTTCCAAGTCAGCGAGGTGTAAAGCTTCATGCCAGACTGAACATTTGAAATGTAGGGGTGGGGGGAAGAAAGAAAGGAACAGGAGATATTTTTCGCCTTACCCGCTGGACTCTCATCTGATCGGCAATCTTCTTCAGCTCCCTCAGCTGCTCCTCGTAGAGCAAGCGCAGGCCCGAAGGCTTCCCGAACCTGTTCTGGTAGGCCTCGATCTCTGCTTCCAGCAACTTGTTCTTCTGCTCAAGCATTCGAACCTGCCGACACGCAAGAGCGAAGCTTTACTGAGATCAGCAATCAGGAACATGCTTATTCTTAAGAATAGCCATTTTATTCTGGCCTGTTGTAACTAATTTAGCGCACTGCCAGAATATTGTTTCTCTTCGGGCTTTTTAAAAATATTTTGTCACTTTGCAACCACAGACCTTTAATTTGGATTTTTAAATAAAGTAGCACATTTTTAGACAGTTTCCAAATTGTATTGCAAATAAAAATCTGAATGTATGGCGAAGTTTTTGAGTTATTTTTCTTTGTGTACAGCTTGGTGTCTTTTGAGGTGGGTCTCTTCCAGCTTTGTTGACTGACTTTGGTGACTGACATTTTTCCCCGTTCTTCTTTGTAAAATAGAAAATTTTTGAAAATCAATGTTGAAGTCCTGCCACTCTAATTGATTGCATTAAAATTTGGATTTTTGACTCAATTCTGAGCACCTTCCCTGACCTTGATGACAACACATTTGAATCATGTACATAAAATTGTGCATGCTGGCCAAAATGAGACACTTTTATGGCGTTCGTGTATCCACAATGGATCTGTGGAGCACCCCAATCAAAATTAGCCTTTTGACTTTATGGGGTGTGTTTAAATTTGAGTTTTTCAACATTCATTAATGGAGACTCTCCCTCTTTAGCAAATAAAACAATGACTCCTGCTTTAAATTCCAGGACAACTTTCTCCCTGCCTTGTCTGTTGTGTCACTTGGTTGCCATGTCGCTGTTTCTTCTTCTAAGGTTCTCCAAAAAATAAAATAAAATAAAAATCTGAGACCTTCGCAGAATAGTTGGCTTTATTCAGAGGATGCATTACACTAAGACGTTCTAATTTCCATTCGCTGACTTCTGCAAGGCTTGGCTTTCAATTAGGGGTATCAGAGTACAAGTGGATGAATACAAAAGCACTGTAAGCCTTTCAGTATTTTGTTTGTGAAAAAAAAAAAGTGAAAACTTTCTTTAATTTTTCCTCCATCTGCTAGTTGTGTGCTACGTTGTGCAGATTTATGAAGCACCCCAGTTTGGTAAATTTACCTTTTCCTTTTTCGTAGCATGGAAAATGATTTCAGTTCAGGGAAACATTCTACCTTGTCGATGTAAACAGCCAGTCTGTCGTTCAGGACGATCATCTCCTGTCTTTCGATGGTGCGGGTGCTGAGGAACTCCTGGTTCTCTGCCGCGGCCGCGTCCAGATCCATGGGAGCCTCTCCACTTGGCCCAACACACACCATGGCTCCTGCGCTTACTCTGACAACACACACCGGTCACTTGATCAGGGAGAATAAAACACTGCAAAAATCTTATGTAGTTTTAGCCTAGTTGCTACAGCAAATGTCCCAGCACATTTTGAAATAAGACAAAACTAACTTATAAGTAAGTGTCCTGTGTGATTTAGAAGCTCGTTTTAAGTAAATAATCCCTTAATAGGCTACTGATAAAATAATTCCACTATTTCACTTATTACAAGGCACTTCCTCCTTTTTATAAGTGAAATAATATGCCAAACTACTCCATCAATATTAGGGAGTTATTTATTTCAAACAAGCTCCTACTTGCTGAAAGGTCATTCGTGATTTCAGTTTTGTCTCATTCCAAGTACGCAGAGGAACTCGACCAAATCGTGTGGTTTTGCTGCTGCTCTTTACCCGACTCCAGCAGCGCGTGACCTCCGCGCCGCTGACACGCTCCTCCGTCCCACCGAGGCCACGCGCACGCTGCTGGACCCGGCTCGGGCGGAGTAGCCGGCGGCGGCATGGCGGACCTCCCTCCGGGCCGGGGACAGGCTGGACACCCTGACCTGGTAGGTCGAGCTGCCGCTGCCGCTGTCCTCAAAGTGACGGCGGTAAGATGAAATCCTCTCCGGGCTGCGACTCATCGCGGGAACTGAACTCAGCCGGGGTTGGACTGTGCGGAACGGTGTGGAAATCCTTCGTTCTCAGTCCTGTCGGCCAGGAGTCGGAGTTTTTTTTTATACCGCCTTCCTATGCCGGCGATGCTTCTGGGTCCAAGCAGAACCGAGCCCCACGCGCACGAGAAAAGCACCTGTGGAATCTCGAACCTCGGCACCAGATATCTGTCAGCAGCCTGTGAGGAGCGGAGCTGAGCTGGGAAAGCGGTTCGTAATGTCAAATGTTTCCTCGGAAAGCTCATAGTGATTATGCATCTGTTATGTCTTTTATTAGAAACGTCGGTAATCTGTGGGTTGCGGTGCCGCGCTGTATCAGCAGGATGACACATGGGGATCGAGAGAGAGGACGAAGTTGGACGGTACACTAGGGCAGGACGATATGGCTGAAAACGTATCACGATATTCGTTTCATACCGGCGGTCATATCAGTAATTTTGATCTGGTTTTTATTTCGGTTTGGTTAAATATCTGAAATACAAGTGTGGCATCACTTTTTGTGTTTTGTCCACAGTTTAGCTGTTAACTGTAACAGTTACGAGATGGCGAAACCTTAAACTGCTGCTGCAGTTTGTTACTAAGTAAGTGAATTAAGTTGATGCCACCAACCTTGCTTTTTGAGCATTTAAAGCAGGGGTGAACAACGTGGGGCCTAAAGGCCATTTGTGGCCCTTGGAGACTGATTTTGTGTAGTTCTCACACAAAATCAGTCTCCAAGGGCCACTGCGATTAAAAACTGCTACAGATTTGTCCCATAAATGCAGATGGAGACTTTTCATTTATAATCGGTGTAAAAATTGTTGGCAATGTAAATTTCTTACACAGGAAAATGAAAAAGCCAACTTTGTCGCATCCAAATCAGCTGTTATTCCTGCTTAAACTTGGCTAAATAGAGCAAACAGTTTTGAAACAACATGATCCAAATCCTCTTCTTACCTACTGAAAATACATTTATTCAACAGAACCCGAAAGAAATTGAAAACTGGACTTCTTTCTGTTAATGCAGCAAAGATGCAAAGTCTGCTACGGCGTGCTATGGCCAGAAAATTGAGAGTAATCTAAAAAAAGCACTTGGAAATTTGCTAGAAAAAGTTTTTCAGATTAATATCAGAAATTTTCTACAAAAAATTTTAAAAATTCTGAATTTCAAATATCAAAAAAAAAATATATAATGTTTTTAGAAGGTTTACAAGTTTTCTAGAAAGTTTCTGAGATTTTTTGCAAAATTTTCCCAAAAATTGTGACACATTTTTTGGAAAACACTCCTTTTTTCTAAAAGCCCTAATACACCTTGGTAAAAAAATAAAAATAAAATCCGCTTTTTGGCCCTGTACTAGATTTGGGTCTGCAATTTTTTTCCCACGTGACAAAAAGTTTGGATACCCCTGAACTAAAGACTTTCCTCTACATCCCCCAGAATGCTGTGCGGTTCTGGATCAGAGTTCAGTGAAATGATTGAACATCCTATCAGACGTATTATCTATTGATATTGATCACGGGTCTGTCACGATACATTATTGTTATTGATTTATTGTCCAGCCCTGCAGTAAGTAGATGCCGCTCTGACGTGATGTGCTCTGATTGGACGAGGGGCCTGGTTGAACGCAGAGCAGAAGCTGGAGGGTGACCTGAGGCGTTGGGGGAGAGATTTCCGTGAATTGCATCTTATTAGTCTGGTCTGTTTGAAACATATTTTGAAAAAGGGAGAGATTAGAATTAACAGGTACGATCCGTGTTTTGTAATCAGCCAGCGGGCGGCCATTCCTTCGTCTTGACCTCGCGTCTTATAGCAGCGTGGAACATTGGAAGAGAGATGGAATCTTTCAGCCATGTGCACAATCATCCTTCTACTCACCAAATTCTTTCCAGCTTGCAGTCACATATGTTGCACATCACTATGATATTTTCTAACATAGTTATTAAATATTTCAAGTTTCTAATTTAGCGAAGAGTCCTACGTGTGCTCTATTGGTCGACCACAGACATAAAGTAGCTTCTTGTGTCCCGGTGATGTTATTGTGTCCCCTTAACAGACTTTTTCCTTCCTCTTAACTTTCCGTGATTATGTTTGGACATAGCACTTTGTGTGCGGCTAGCTTCTTCAGCAATAATCCCTTATGAACAAAATCAGCGGTCTTCCATCGTGATTATGTAAGCTGTCAAATATAATTTTTGCATTAAAATTTTTGGTTTTAGTCAGAATCATCGAAATAACCAGAAACTAACACGCAGAATGCAACACTACCTGGGCAATCAATACAAGTTTAAATAGGAAAATTGAAAACAACTGAAAATGCTCCTTGTGGTCGAAACATTGAAATCACAATAAATTGACAAATTTATGACGCCAAAGGTCAAGATTCTTTGTTGCCAATCACACGGAAATATAACAGCTAGTTTACAAGAAAAACAGGACAAAATCAAATCAAGATAAGCCAATAAATGAAGAATGATTTTGGTAGACAGGCTACACCTTCTTCAGAGACTTTACAGACTTGTTTTAGGCTAACCCAAAGTTGTTCTTCTTAAACTTCCTTTTGCGACATTTATGCCCAAAATTACACATAATCCCAGCAGATTGAGGTTGAAAGCTCAATCCACATAATGCAATGAGAAACCTTTACATTATTGTCTTTGAAGAGATGCATTTGCAATTAGAAACAAACTTACTGGTTGAAAAAATAATAATATAAAGCAAAATTTGCTTTGGGGGATGAATGATTTTGTGAATTCTGTTGTTACTAAATCAAATCAAAGTCCAAATAAAATAACTTTCATATTCTCTACAAAGCAAAGATGACAAAAAATAAAGAGCAAATCTCCTATAAAATATCAAAAGATTTCTTTTTTCTGTGTGAGCTTGTGAACGAAAGCAGTTCAATAACCATGTTCTGTACCTGTGGCCTTCAACGTGGTCAGGAACCGTGTCGGTGCAACAGAGCCAGATTATTTACTCATATATATGGGAAGTTACGCCGAGTTCATTTTCATTTCACTGCCAATGACTCAATAGTCAACAAGCTGCCTCTAAGATTTGAAACTATGACCAGGACAAACTGGACTGAGATTACCGGTCAAGCTCTTCCAGGGATTTTAAACTCCAATATGAACAGAACGACAACCCGCGTGTTTTGTTTCAGAGACGGACTCGTCAGCCGAAGACAAACCTGTTTGTCGTGGCGGTTGATGGTGGGGGGGAACCTGTTGACGGCTCCTCAAGAGTCAGTGACAAATTCATCCCCACACACACAGCGGCTATTAGATATGAACCTTCAACACAGTAGATCATCGTGGCAACAGTGGCTGTCACCCCACAGCCTCTCCATGTCTATTTATATCTGACTCTGGACACTAAATGTCCTCTCAGGTCAGCTCCACTGGACACGTCCAGCAATGTCCCACAGCAGACAGTGGAAAAAAGAAAAAAGAAAGGACTAAACGTTTTTTGTCATTGTTAAAATATGTATTTTATTAAATCGTTGGCTTTGGTAGAAGATAGAGATTGTTTACATGTATATTTAACAGCCAAAATTTAACTAGTCTGTACTGTTTTTTTTAAAGGTTTTATATAACACCGAACATCAGAAGATAAATATTCATTCGGAGTAAGCAAGATAGCGTCTCATGGCTGCGTTAAATACACTTGCGAGAAAAATACATTTTTTTTTATTGATCTCCGGAATTTTTAAAGTCATAAAGGCGACTCCATGCTGCCTGTTCAGTCAGTTCAACTGGATCAGTTCAACCTGAGAATGAAGTTGTCTAAAGTTTAAAAAAATGAGTGTGCATTCAGTTAAGAAGTGAACAAAAGCAACGTAAAAATAAATTGATGAGTAAAATGTTACAATCAAGGCACAATGTGGCAAAACAAGCATAAAATACAGCAATTAAACATAAATACACGTGAAAACCACTGCATATTACAAAGCATTGTTAGATTTTTTTCTTTTAGCCTGTAAGAAAATTCTGAAAAAAAAACCAAAAAGAAAATCACAACCAGTTTTAGCTTCCAGAATTTTCTAGACTTGAAATATTGAATAAATTCCAAAAATAGATACTTTCATGCAGTTATTAACCAATAAGAACGTATAACAACAAATCAAACACTTTCTTTCAACAATGTAAAGCGTTGCATGGATGACTCGTCTTAGTGAAATTGTCAAGTGCAAAAAAAAAAAAAAACTTGACAATTTCATGTTTTTTGAACAAATGACTTCAAGTAGAATTACAGTGGATCTAAATGTTCAGCAGCAGACATGTTGATTGAGCCCTCTGGTTTCTACTCTTTGGATTCACAGCTGGGTAAAATTTAAGCTCTGACACACACATGCAAACACACAGACGTGCACACACACACATTTTCAAGTTAAGTGGAAATATGAATTACATTCTTAAGTATGTGACTCCAATACGAGGTGAAACCTGCATATTTAGAGGAAGAATAAAATATCACTTAGTTTATTAATGTCTTTTTTTCTTTTCACAAATAAAAATCTGAAATGTGTGGCATGCATTTCTATTCAGTCCGATTAACACTGACTCCTAAAAATAGAATTCCAGCGCAATTCTCTTATGAAGCCCTTTTATAAAGCCCTGCTATACAAATGATTGTATAGCAGTAAACAAAACGCCACCTGCTTGGTCAACTTGAAGAACTCAGACTGAAGTTTGGAGGAATTGGGTTTTAATCCCTACAGAGGAGCTCCGGAGTCTTCCAGAACCGATTCGGAGGTGACAGAAAGCGGAGGAACTCGGTTCACCAGCTTGTCATGGATGATCGCACTCGTCGTAACTTCCCGTTTCCAAACTCTGTGGATCACTTCAGCTGTTCCTGTTCCGCCCAGTCTTGCCATCCACCGGGATAATGCTGAACACTGCAATGAAAGGAGAAAAAAAAAAAACATCAAGTCTTTCTAAATGTTCGCTACTGATAAAAAATATGTTTTTCAGTAACAAAAAAAAAATAAATACAATTCTTGTTTTTGAAGGGCAATTTTATTACTTCGGTGTCCATTTTAATTAGTTTTATTTATTTAGTTCGGACATTTAAAATGTCTTCCAGTTCCAGTGTTAAATGTTTGTTAGAAATGAAGGTCTGTTGATCTTTGAGAGGGTGTATTTGCATAATGTTTACCATAGCCATTGTATTACTTGAAAATGTACTCAAAACAACAACACTCTCATTTATCGCTATAATTACTGGGACAAAATTTGTTATTGTGACAAGCCACACAACTACTTTACTTTAACGCCATTTTCTCTACTATTTCTCCTAGTGAGAAGAGCAAAATAAAAATGGTGCTTGTGTTGCTTATTATAATTCTGATATGAGAATTAGATAAAAATCCCGTGACGCTTTGATCAAGTACATTTTTTGTTCCTTTATTTTCAGTGTGAAATTATTCTATAATAAAATAAACTTAAGGTTTCTTCCTGTTACTAACTGTTGTGGCTCCATTTTTGTTGCTCTACTTTGACGTGCAACAGGCGTGTGGCGTCTTTCCACAGAACGCCACATAATAAAGCTTTGTGCAACAATAGGGGATAAACTGTGAAACTGCAATAAAACAGTCTGACATGACACTGCAAAAAAAAAAAAAGATTAATGTCAGGGAGGACTGGAGTACCACTGGATACCATTTTCAGACTTTTATTTCTAAACCAAATTTAAAATCACGTTTTCTTTAAATATGCAACTATTTTCCGCAAGTTTGTAGTTGTGACATGGGTTCAAAAAAGTTGAATGGGAATGAATTGTTTTTGTTGGTTTTTTCGCATTGCACTTTAAATTTGGAGGTTTCAAAACAATCACTTACTCTGTGAATCCCAGCGAAGCGGCTGTGTCGAGGGCAGTCTTGCTTCTGACTCCGGCCAGACACACGAACACAACGTTATCCGTCTGCCTGGGCTTTTCACCGTCATACTTTTCTTTGAACTCCTCCGGAGCGAGCTGGAGGGCAGTGTTCACCTGTCCCACTGGGCAATGAAGGCAGCGCGAAGAGGTCAAGAGGGGGTGAGGGGGAAAACGCGCACAATTGTGAAGCGAGCTCCTTTTATTCGCTTTAAGTGTTTTCAGGCTTTAAACCATGAACGTCATATAATGACGATTCAATTGGCTTTTTCTAACTCACGCGGGACGTTGACAGATCCGGGGATGAAGCCGTACTCTCGGAGCTCCCAGGGTTCCCGGACATCCACGACCACAGTTCTGCCGTCAGCCAGGAGCTGCTTGAGCTGCGCGTAACTCACATCCGTGTTCCGTCCTTGAGAGCTGAATTTGCGGAGCTGGAACTCTGTTTCTGAAAGCCAAACAAACACACAGGCGGAGGGGGGACGTAAAGGTTGTACATGGGCCTCGTCACAAAAAAAGGGGTCGTGTAATGTTAAACTCACTTTCGCTGCCTCGGTAAGTGTCGACATAGCAGGACACAGATACCCGTCCCACAGGTGAAGAACACCCGTGAGGAACGGGGAGCCTCGAGAGAACGCTGGTCAACCTCCAGCATCTTCTAAGCGCCATAATACCCGGTGTGTGGACAGAAAACCACGTTACCGCACGATGACGCCAGAATGACTCTTCTGCGCTTGCGCAGTAGTGCAGATCATTTAAAGGACAAACTTATGTGAACAATATCACCTATGACCATTTAGTAATTCATTTATTTGTTTATTTATAAGCACACGTTTAAGGTAAACCCCCATTCAGAGTTTTAGAAAGAACATTTTTAATTCTAAAGGAAACGTTTTCCACTTTATGCGAACGCAGCATTTGATCAAGCTGCGCTGCCGTCGTTACGTCACATGTTGACTTCTGCGGCTAAAGTTGGAGCTACCGATAGCTTAGCAACATCTTCTGGCGAAAGTGAAACCGACAGAGGGGGGAACACCCAGTCTGCGGCTTGTTCACTCGTCGCTAGCGTAAACATTTGGGATGTCGTAAAGTAAAAGTACTGTTTCTGTGTGAAAGTTCCGTGTTAGTTGCTGCATTTGTTGCGACATGCTAATGCAGCTAGCTGGTTAGCTATCCAGGAAGAGTTGAGACATCACTGTTGGCTTCAGCCAACACAGATAGCAAAGGAGCGAGCTGAGAGAGGTAAGTTTAAACTGCTTTCTTCGCGTCATGAAAGGAGGGGTTGTGTTTGAGGTGTAGGTTGTACATGTTAACTGTGGGAAGTATTTAATGCATAAATCCGGACTGTCCACGCTGTGTAGGCCTCTTATCTGTGTTCTTGCCCATTGTAGAGTAGGTATTAACTCTCTTTGTTCGCCCATCCCTTTTTTTACACTAATACATTAATTTCTTGTTCAGATAGGATGATTAGATTTGACGTAAATGTGTAACAACTCAAAATATTGCGAGCGATCAATGATTTAAGGAAAGATCTCTTGGATTCTTGTGGCAACATAATAATATGGTTGAATAGAAATAGTATGGTTTCATTTAGCAGAAAAAACAATGAAGGTTTTTGCTGTATTAAATCATTCATCTGAATTAACGCCACATGAAGCTGTCTCAACACATTTAGACAACCTTTCCCTTGATCCCAGGGTTTGGGAGAGCCTGGAACGTTTTGATCGGTACACAAAACATATTGTGGAAAGCACTTATACATTCAGTGTATTTCCTCCTGCATCAATAGTATCAAATTATCCATTACTTGTTTAGCTGTCTGTCATCCATCTATCCGTCTCTCCCAATCAGTTTGCCCAACATCCATATCTGTCTGTCTATCCACTCGTTCAACTATGTGTTGAATAAACAATGAGCTTTTATTAATTTTGTCCCAGTATCAGATAATAATTTTGCTTTCACGCTGCAGTTTTCTCTTTGACTTGTTTTTGGAGGCAGAGAAAGTGTGAGCTAAGACTAAATTATCTGTGTTTTACCCATGAAACAGCCTCATGCAGGAATCATAGTCAGGAGGATAACTTGTCAAAGCAACGATTCTCTGTTTTTCAAATAAGAAAATGGGTTATGTCGCACTTTCATAATTTTCTCTCCCCAATTTCTTATCGATGTGTTGTCAGGTTTATCTGTGGACTTTTGATTCTCTTGATAGTGGAGCTTGTTGATGAATAACAAATGAAAGAACACACATCCAGACAATTCTCCAAAATTCACAAATTCTTAGAGAGTTCACAAGAAATAGATAAATTCCAGAGAAGTGACAAAAACCCGGAGCTCCTTCTCTGACTTTTAAGATCCTCAATGAATGTGTTAAATATTAAAGTTTTGTTGAGAAATCTTTGCTATTTTTAGCAACAAAAAAAAACCCAACAAGCAAAAAAACCACAATGAGGTCATTTTTCTATCCTCACTTTCAGAGCTCCAGATGCGGCTAAAGGATCCCTTTTCTTTGAAAGCCGCCGACATGACAAAGCGGACTAATAAACCGCGGAAACCTCGAGATGAGGAGTCATCAGATGAAGTCAGCGGTAAGTGTAAAGCTTAAAAGCCTTGGCGTGCCATTAATGATCAGGCTTGGTTCTAAATACTCAAGGTTCACGTTAAATAGATGGAAGTACTGCCTTGTTCAACCAGGGCAAGCGTTTAGTTGCTAACAAAATATTAACGTTTTCTGAACAGACAGTTAAACGGACATAAATCTGAAATGTTAGTTTTCTTTTGCTGTTGCTCAACTTTTGCAACTGCTATTGCTTCCTATGTTTTATTTGGAGCTAAAACGATTAATTGGATCAACAGTGATTAATCGATTATTGAAATAACCACCAACTAATTTAGTAATTGATTAATTGTTAACTGGAGTGCTCAGCTTCAAAAAGAACGGCAACTCACATCAGTGATTGAGCCAAAACTGTACAAAAAGAATATACATTTTGAATTTAAAATGAAAAATGTCTTCTTTGTTTATAACTATATTTTACTAAGTGGCGAATTTTAGTTCTGTAAATTATTCAATAATGAATAGAATAATTGCTTTACTAAAACAGTTGTTAGTTGCAGCTCTAATTTTATCTAACTTTATTTTAGGTTAGGTTATTTTAGGCGAAAGATTTTTTTTCCCCAACTCTATAAAGTGAATAAACATAGCTTTAATTTGCATTTAGACTTACATTCACAGCTGGTTTTAGAGCTTTCTTTTCTTTTCTGTTGACTTATTTTGAAACCCAATTTGATTTTGGCTAAAACCTTGACTCTAGCAAATGTGTTTATAAAAGTTTTTAAAGGCCAGGATTGACATTGTCACTCCCATTTTGTTACTATTCTAAAATGTTGTTTTTCAGCTTCAGGCGGTTATTTGCTAAAACCATTCATTGAGTATTATTTCAAGCTTTTAAGAGCACTCTGATCTGTTGTCTTTGTAAATTTGATCACTATTTTAAAACCAAAGACCCTGAATGAGTGGTCCCCCTTTAAAAGACCACATGCAGAAAATCTTTCATCGATTGAATGTTTGTTTGTCGGCCAGGATTGACATGCCAACATGTTAACAAAGCAGTGGACCTGAACTCGGTGAAGAAGTCGGTCCTGTCGAGCGTGTGGTCGGTCTGCTCCGAGTGTCTGAGGGAGAGGACGATGATGGACGGCGAGCCGGCAGCGTCCCACGACATCCTGGTCTGCCTCAAGTGTGGTTTTCAGGTCAGATTTACAGAAAACATTTTAAGAACGTGATCAAATTCAGCTCAATTTTATCCTGCAGTATGTTTGAATTTGGCCATTTATTTACTGTTTTTTTTAATAAAAAAAAAAGCACATTTTTATTAAGGCTTTGGCGAACAGTTATTTCAGTCATTGATTAATCTATCGATTTTTTTGACCATTAATCAAATTAATCTGATTTTTTTTAAAAATTGATACATTTAGCAGATTTTTCATATTACCACCTAAACAATATTAGAAATACAGTATATTAAAGTATACAACTAAACAAATTATTCAAGCCCTTAAAATCAGAAAATGAAAATGTTCTTGCCTAAAATGCTATAGAGTGTATATGTGTTTTGTACAGCTTTGACTTGATCACGTCTCTTGCTGTGTTCATTCAGTAAAGCTTTTGATGTGTGTACTCCGTTAACGATTATTTCATTGTTAAATTAGTTGACCATTACTTCATTGATCGAGTAATCATGATTGTGATTAATCAGTTAATCACAATCACAGCCCTATTTTGTATAGCCTCTTGTATCAAACTAACTACACTTAATTGTGATCAAATTTGCAATCAAGGAAGCAATTTTTTATTTTTATTTTTTGTCTTCCTTTGCTTTCTGAAATAATTCAGACTGGCGTGTACAGATTGTGTTTTTCTGTTTCTAAAAACTTGAGAAAATGAACGAGAAGCATCACATTGAAAGAAAAGCTAAAAAGTTAACATGATTTCACTCAAAGAAGAAAACACATTTGCAAAAACCCAGCAAACATGTAGAAGAAGCTACTCTGGTCAGATGCCACCAACATGGCAACTTTTATTCTTGTATTCAAACTGAACATAAGCCTGAAAACGAACACTGTATAGCACCCCTATGCAGGAATGCAAATATAAGTGCATGGTCTGCTTTTCAGCTTTTTATTTGTGAAAAATAATAATAATAAAAAAAAACATATCTCTTTCTTCCATTTCCCAAATCTGTGTTGCATTTTTGTTGGCCTTTCATGTTAAATTCCTGTGATATACATAGTAGTTTGAGGCAACAAAATGCAAAAACACGTCAGATTTTTGTTCAATCAAAAGACTGATATTTTAAACATAAGCTGTCTCAACGAACTGTCTTACAGGGCTGTAACCAATCAGGAATCCAGCATGCCGTCAAGCATCACCAGACTTTTCATCCAGAGTCGCACTGTATCACCATCAGTCTGAACACATGGAAGGCCTGGTGAGAATCCCTGCAGGTTAAAAAATGTAAAGCTGCACAACCAGAGGGCTGATTTATAACAAGTGTGTTTGACTTGTATAGAAACTAAACAAATTTGGCATTTTTCTAAGTGAAAATTCACATTTTTGACTCAGACAATGTCAAAAACGTGACATTTTTTAAACAATTTTCTTCCACTCATACAAAATTAGTCTTGTTAAAATGACCAGCGCATCTGTTTTTGTTTTTGCTTAACTGTGTATTTTTTGTCATATTCTTAATGAAATATGTTTAAAAATTTTCAACAGGTGCTTTGAATGTAACGAAGAGCTTTCTACACACTGCAACAAGAAGGCTTTGGCTCAGACTCTGGACTTTTTGCAGAAACATTCCATCAAGGCGACATCAGGTAATACGGTACAATACAGTTTTCTTCACAAAGCACTTTAAAACAACACAATTGGTGCAGCACGCCAAAGCAAATAAAACAGACGCGTCTGAAAGCTGGAACATCCCTGAAGTTTACTGATGCGGGTGTTTGTCATTTGATGGTCATCATAACACTGCATACCTGCATGATTGTTTTAAAGTGTTATGTTATTAAGTTTGATCAACTTCAGTAGGAAAGAAAACTCAGTTTTAAACCAATTGTTGCAGTAGTTGGCTCGCCATACAGCGGCTCCCTCTTGTGGCAGGAGCTTTCTCCTCCTCTTATCAGTCACAAAATAAGAAAACTGAGGTAAAAACCCGTTCATATTTCATTCTTCATCCTGAAGAGTTATGATTTTCTGTATGTTAAAGGGAACAGCAGATACTGACAGACTGGTAGATGCACTAAACATTCGGGCTAAGCTGTCCTTTTCACCTCATTCAGACCACCTGAGTCCTCCTCGCTCAGTCAGCCGTATAACTCCTGATAATCTCATGTATTCACACACACAGACACACACACCTTCTGTTGCTGGCTCCTGGTGCCCCCCACTGTGTTGTGTTGGCATGCAGGAAGCTCCACTAACAGACTGAATCTGATCAGGGTGGTGGGCAGCATCAGCACTTTTTGGTCTCAGCTTAGCCCACTGCCCGGTGCCTTGTTGCCAGCGGTCAAGCAGCCAGTTGCCCAGGCCCAGTAAAGCTGGTCCCTCATGTCTGCCATTGCAGGATTTATCTGCCCTCCTCTTACTCCCCATCCTACTCGCCCACCCCCCACCTTGCAGATCGCATGACTGCACATATTAAAGGAATTAAGCGCTCGAGCGACGCTTCCCGCCTGCGTTCCCTGAAGAACGCAAGCAGCTGCGTGGGGGTCCAGCTCCCGCGCCGTCATCCTTTGTCTCCCCGTCGCTATCTGTAGCCGTCCTTCCCGCGGAGCCGCTGTGCGTCTCACCACCTCTGGGCCTGTGCGCCGCACTAGTGGGAGCCAGGGTCCTCAACAAGTCAGAGCGACTGGATTTCAACAGCTGGAGCGCTCCAACTCTCAGCGGAGACGTGCTGACGCACAGAAAGGGCTGACGGAGGATGTTGAACCTTGAAAATATCAACTACCACATGAAAATATCGACTTTACAAATGTCCTGCAAGTCCTGCTGAAAAAAATTTGTTGCTCTCTTATTGGAGATTTATTCTTTTATGCATGTCTGTATTTTGAGGTTGTTTTTTTTTTTTTGATGGAGGAAAACTAAGTCCTCTTTCATAAACCTTTATATTTACCGTTACCTCCTTGTTTTCAGCACTTTTGCGCTCTTTTTAAAATAAAATTTATCGCCACAAAATGCATGTGTATGATAGTGTATATTGTTTTATATTTTAGAACAAATAAAAATGTTTTTACATATCCAGCAAAAACCCAAAATCTTCCCAAGTAGTTTTTGTTTAGTTTCTAGTGCAAATATATGAATACACTTGAAATAAGACAAAACTAACTTGCAAGTACAAGTTCGATAACAAACTTATACTTTGTCATCAATAACTGCTTAATATTGATGACAAAGCACAAGTTTCACTGGCAAATGGTTTCACTTATAACATGGGCAAAATATCTTGTTATAAGTTAAATAATCTGACAATGGAACTAGTATTTTTTTGTAAATCGATTTTAAGGAATTATTATATGCACACTGTTTTTTTGTTTGTCTTTTTACTTTTTGTGTCATCGGGCCATAAAAAACCAGATTGTGGAGGTGGACTAGCTGAAGAGAAATATCCTTGTTGATGTTTGAGCGCAACAGAAACACTGCTGGCGAATCACACAGCGCTTCACAGGCGTGTCAGCCTGGCCAGAGGCGCCGCACCAGAGTTCCCGTCAATTCGCACCTCACCAAACAAACTGGGCTTTTCAGACAAACAAACTGCAGTTTGATTGAAGCAGTCTAACCTGGCTGGTGTGAACGCACCTTCAGTCTTTTTTAGATGCATGGTTCCTGCTGGTTTGCAAACATTTTGTTTCTTGCAGCAATGCGCAGCGTCAGCATCTACCAAAATGACACTTTTTGTAGACTGCTTGATTCGCTCCAAAGAAGTGGAGGGAAATGCGTATAATTAGCTTTTTTTTTTTTTTTTTTTGCAACATTTTAAAAGTTCACTCAAATTTCGCATGACAGTGCAAAATTTGAATTACGGTATTGTTTTCTAAAAGCATTACTGCAGCATACCGCTTCTTACTAATCCACTATGACACCTGACAGAAATATCTTAAATTCAGAAGACTTGAGGGAAATGTGTTCATAAAAATCTATTGTTGGGGGTGTTTCCTCATAAACCAGAACAAACCCGGTCTCTGGTGGAGCCATATTGTGTGGCACCAGGTTTGCTGTTGACCCCCTGAAGTGGAAAGCGACCTCTTACACCTTTTCTTCTACATCTTCCTCTTTTAACTGACCTTTCACCCTTTCCCTGCCTCCCAGTTCTCCCACACCGGTCTGGAGCTGGGTACAGAGGCGGCTCCCTCATTGTCGCAGCAAAGTAGATATTTGTTGCCTGGTAAGCAGCTTGTGCAAATGCATTTGATTGTGAAGGCCAGGTTTTTCTGAAGAAGCCACTGTTACGTTCTGCTTTTTAAAAAATGTTTTCCTATAGACCTCAAGCACAAAAGGAGCCACAGCTCCGATTTTTTTTTCCTGCTTTTTCTTCTTTTATTTCAAAATCCATAATAATTTTGTACAACAACAGCTCTGGGAAGAAAGACAGTCGATTAACTGTGCTCTCTCACCATCAAGGCCTTCAGCTCAAGTACCAGAGTCCCAGTAGAAATCGAATTGACCTCAGGGAGCCGGGCTCCGGCGTTGTAACACAGCTGGGGAGGCTTTGTTGAGTAAATTAAAATGTCGGTGCTGGAAGGACAGCGCTGCTTGTTTCGCATTGAAATCCCACAATCCCGCTTCTGTTTTCAAGCTGTTACCTTTCTTCCTCAGATTGTGCTGCATCGATATGCGCGCTATTATGCTCTTTGTTTGTTCTTATGTTTTCTGCTTTTACATCATCCTGCAAAACTGGCAACATAATCGGATTATGATTCGGTTTTGATGTTTCACCGACAACGTCTGGGTGTGGAAAAAGTCTCATAATGAGTTTTTGGAATGAAAACTTGATTGTTTCTTCTGATATTAAAGTCAAAGCTAATCAGAAGCGGGCTTATTGTGCGAGAACCTAGAACGTCTTTTTCCAGTGTACACTGGTATTTTTTTTTATCACGTTTCCTCTCTTCAGTTACATCATTTCAGAAACTAAAACTTTCACACAAATAGACATTCTGTAATTGACGGGTACAGCAAGATCCTGCTGTAATTACGCATCAGTTTTCACCTGCAGCAGAGGTGTTAAAACGGAGCCCCGTGGACCACTTGTAGCCTTCATAATGGCCCAGATCTGCGTTTCAAGAATGCTACAGATGTGGTTTACACAGACTGCCGTCACTGTTCACTCAAAATCAAACCTGGTCACACACATTCTTTAAACATTGTTGGTGAGAATAAACCAAAACCCATTTCAGAGTAAGAAAATGGAAAAGTTCCAGAAATCAAAACAAGGAATAATCTTTATGTTTCAGATCTATTACACATTGATCCCCATATTGTAAGAACAAGGTAGGGAGCTTCGCCCCCAAGATGTGCGGCCAAGTATAACATTTCTGAAACGGCAACAAAAATGGAAAAGTGGCTTTTCCGCTTTTAAAATGGTCTTAGGGGTAATAGAAACCTCTTCTACTACAAAATATGACTGGTAATGGTTAATCAATTAAAAGGATTTTCTAGCAAATGTTGCCAAGTTAATTATCATTTTCGGTGGCTCTACGTTTATGATACTTTTTAAAGCGGTCAGTCAAAACGACGGACAACACTTAAGTTAGCATCACTTTGGTTTAAATAAATTTTTTTAAACTAAACATCGACGAAACTTTGAATATAATTCAATCATCTGTAGCCATTTTAGTTCTTATTTAATTTTATTTTTTTTATTTATTCTAAATTTAATTGACTAAAAAAATGAAGTCATAACTTGCTTAGTGTTACTTAAGGAACCTGAAGCCTCCCGCGCTTTCCTGTCTTCCTGATGTCAACATTAATGCGAGAGCATCTTAAACCTCCAACCTGGACACCACACCATCAGACTTATTGGTTATTTTTAAATCTTGTGCCGCTTTTCTGCATTTTCTTTCTATCTTCACTCATTTTAATTAAATTCAGCAACAATAATGTAAATGATTTTGTTGTCAGAGTTGTTTAATTTTGCGTTTTGATACAGTTCCTGTCTTTGATTTATTTAGGGCATGAAAAAGATCTTTAATGAAAGTTGATGTGCTAAATAAAAACTGGTCCATCCCTAATTAGAAAAATTAGGGATGGACCATTGTTTTCAGTCATTGTTTCAGGCCAATTGCTAGAGAATTTTTGTTCATGTTGCTGGTATTTATTCCAAAAACCTTAATGTCAAATAAATTAGGATAATGCTGTATGGAGTGTGTTTTGGCTAAAATGTTGATTTTCATTTTGGGTAAGCCGCGGCACCATGGCAACCGCTAAAGGCAAAGCATTTGCGCACGTCTTCTTACCTGTTTTTATTTGTTTTGCAAACGGCCATCTTTAGGAACTGTCACTTCAGCTTTGCCGAGTCAGTGGCTAGATGCTCGTCCCCTGGTGGTGCTTTCATGAAAGTAATCAAGAGTGAGTCTTCATTTATTACCACCATTGCACATAAAAGTAGGGCAGATAGTTGGTAGCGCAATCTGTTTGCTTGTGTGTGTGTGTGTGTGTGTGTGTCTGTCTTTAAGTAGCATGTCAGTGGGCTCTCTTGGCCTCAGATGGCAAGAAAGCAAGCTTTTTATGCCCTGCAGTCACAACAAATTAGCGAATGAATAAGACATTTGGTGTTGCCTGGGCTTCCTCTTGACTGCCTGCTCTGCATGAAGTGAGCTGGCCTTGGCCCTCCACGCTGTTGAGCTGAAAGTGAGCATGGATGCACGGATGAAGCCAACTGGCCTTGCGATCCGGCTGCCTCTCTATTCAGCTGTGAAGAATGTGAAAAAAGAAAAAGGCTGTGAGGAGTCTGTTGGAAAATATTTTTTTGCAGAGACTTGTTTCAGATCAGTATAGTTTTTGACCTCAAGTGGCAGATGGGTGATTGTGGCGAGTTTGGTGCTAAAAGCAGTAGATGTTGGTAAATGGCACACTTGAATGTCATTTGTTGTTTTACGATAGAAAAGTTTAGCATCTATGTGTGTAAGTGTAAGAACAGCAAGTAAGTAGTATTGTTTTCTGAATAATTGCAATGATTGCTTTTGTGCAACCCAGCAACTGGACGTGCAACATGCAGGTAAACGACACAACACGAGAAAGTTTCTGGCAGCGCCATCGTGCTGGGTTTCTCCCTGGTTGGCGGAAACTTTCTCCTGTTGATGTTGTTCAACATTGTCCTAAGATACCTCTGCAGATGAATCAGCTTGACTTTGGTCAAGTGCCTCGAAAAAATATTCAATGTAATTGACCCTATGAGAATTATCTGAATCAACAGGAGGATCATCAGCATCGATTCTATGGACTCTTGCTCTATCCCCTGTGAAGGAAAGCCAAGTCACTGGTTCCTCTGTCCATCTCTGGGCTGGCAGAGGTGTTGGTGTGCATGGATGCCTGTGGTCGAACTCGGGCACCTCGGTGCTTTCCTCCTCCCCCGGGGGAAAGGCTCTACAGTGTCACTGCTGCCCACACTCGGTGGCTGAGCAAGGAGGGCCAGGTGGTGGTGCAGAGCGCGGCACACTCAAGCGTGGACGCGGCGCATGCTGACATTTGCCTTCGCCGACCGCTGCAGGGACAGGAAAGATCTGCTTTTCCATATGCTTGTGCTCGTTCCAACCCTCCCCTCTGCCCCCCGCAGTCTCAACCAGATGGCTCCCTGAACATTGTTTACCTTGGGTGACGGTCCCAGATGCAGAGCGTGTCCATCGGCATCTTCTTTCCGCCTGTTTGGCTTCCTCATTCCTCTGCACTCTCTTTTACTTCCAAGTGCCAGTCGTATCTTTTTCAACTCTTGCCGATTCCGCTATCCGTCTCACAAACTCTACAACAAAATGCTACTCGGACACTCACGCTTACCCTGGTCATTTTCTTTTTTTGTTTTTTAATCACTTGTTGACTCGTGCATGGGCAGATCATTTCACACCAACCTTTAAAATACAGTTTTTCTCTTACCTCCCCATCTCCGTTTGTTTTCTTTGGATTCGTGTGTGTTGACATCTGGGAACTCCCTTATGGCAGCCTGACGAGGATAAAAAACAGGCCTACAGATGTTGCAAGCGCAGAGGTCCAGATGCAATTAGCTCTCCTATACAGAGTGCTTTGACAACTCGGCGTCCCGACAAGCTGAACCTCACCTTTACCGTCGTTCTCCCTAAAATTCCGGGACAAGCTGAAGGATGTGTACACCGTTTCTCATCAACACCGAACGGGAGTCGGTAAAAGTCATACAAAGTCAAAGGATTTGTTGAAAACAGGACTGTAAACTTTCCAAATAAGTCGCCCTTTTCTTTACTTTTCTCTGTAAACAGAATGAGAGGTTCACATTGTGTGTTTGTTAGAGCGTTAAGTCCAAGGTTTACATTCCAAAGACTTTAGAGTTGTGGCCCCCCCATGGAGAAAAGCCTTTTGGGTAGTGGCTGTCACTGTAAGTTGAATAGATCTCCAATAAAGACGTTGTGCACAAGAAGTGAATCCATGCAAAGGCAAGGCCATTTGGGTGTTGAAGTAAAGATGCAGGTTCTTACAAAAGGCTTGCGGTTCAATTGATTTTCTTTGGTTTAGGCGTGAACAGGTCGGGCTTGTGACCTGTGTTTACGAATCCTGTGTGTCTCCCGGCATTCCTTTGAGATCTCCACAGCCTGCCTTTTTGTGACTTTTTTTTTTTATTGTCATCGTCTGTCTACAGAGTAATTTTAAGTTTTCTTTTTCAATACAAACCATTGAATGCTTCAATGAAACGCTTCTGTCATTGTGAAACCAGAAGGAAGTTTTTTTTTTTGTTAACATGAAATTCCATCTCCAATGAAAAAGTTTTTTTTTTTGACATTATGTTAGATTTATGATTTTTTTCCCTTATTTTTTCATGTCATACAACAATGCGAGGATAGAATTGTGACCTTCTGTACTGAAGTAAAGCTTGTTTGACCAAAATATTCAGAGGAAAAGTTGCATCAAACTGCTCTTCCTTTGAGTCGTGGAAATGTTTGGTCTTTGTTGTTGAAACGCGTGTTTCGTGGAGTATAGACTCCAGAGGACATTACTTATAAATAATAGGAATTTTCCCCAATTCTCTAAAATGTGGCCATGTTAGGTCACAGCATCAGACCTAATAATTAGCATCAGGATTTCTCCAGTGTATGGCAAAAGTACTTGCCTGAACTGTTTGACTTTTGGGATTTTAAATCACAAATAACTTAAAATCATTTATGACTTAAAAAGGAAGCGTAGTGGCAGCAGGGAATTTGAGTAGTGAGTTGTTTAAAAGGTTTCCGAAGAAATTGTGAAAAGTTTTTTTATGTTTATGAATATAGTTAAAGTGTTTTTGTGTGTTTTTCTTTCAACTTTATGAATTTTAATATTTGTTTTTTCTCCCAAGCTCAGTCAGATGAATAATATAGGATATGCTAATAGCAGATTTACGAATCTCATTGGGATTTGGGTCTGGATTTGCTATCAATACAAACACAGTTGGGTTTTTTTTTTTTTTAACAAAAAGGTTTTTTTTGTAAAAATTAAATTTTCTTGTCAAAAAAAGCCAAATTAAGTTGAACATGATTGATTTATAAAAGCATTAAAAAGGGCCAACCATCCAAAAGGGTGAATACTTCTATTGGCACTGTAGCTGGAACAATGGCATGTCAGCGTCTGCTAACACGTGTTAACACTCTGTCAGTCAGACGTCAACCTTCCTGTTCTGAGATCGGCTCACGCAGCTGCAGGATCCTCTCCGGTTTGTCCCTCGCTCCGCGCACCGCTCCGCACTGACCATCTGTGTCGTTGTTTCTGTCGAAGGTTAGTTTTCAGCGGTGATCAGAAGTAACAGCTGGCTCTGGAAGGGGAGTTCTCCTGCTCCAACCATCGCCCCGCTCCCCTTGCTCCTCACAAACCAGCAGAAACGTCAACAGCTGTCATCTGCCTTCCCCAAATGACCCAGCTCTCCTTCCAGCTGCCGTCGCGGCACCCTGCTCCCAGCCCAGTTCTCGTGTCAAGCCTGAACCACTTTCTTTTTTGTACATATTTTTTTCAAAATTAAAGTTGGCAAGAAACTGATCATCATTTTCTATGTTTAACTTTAATCTCCAGATTTGACTCAAGTTTTGTTCATAATTTAACCGTAATGGAAAGTACTACAACTTGAAACAGAAATGCTTACTGTGGTTTGATTAGCTTCACAGTTCTAGTTATGCTATGTGCGTAGTTGGGCAAGTATTTTGACCTCAACATCATTTTTAGGCATATTTTCTCATTTCAAGCTGGATAAACTTGAATGTTTAATGGACTTAATCATGGCAGGTGGTGTGTAATGAGGGAGGGTGTAGCCTAAAGAGGTCAACACCCAACATGAAGGTGTGTAAAATTAATAGGCACCTTTTTATTTTTCTTGAGGCAAAATGGGCCAGAAAAGACATTTAACTGACTCTGAAAAGTCAAAAACGACCAAAAGTCTCACAGACAAATCCAGCTCCCTTTTAACCACGCAACAATTACAATCTAATGTCGCCATTGTTTGTGTGCTTGACTGCTTGTGTCTAAGCTAGGCATCTGCATTTCTTTGTGTGTGCGTTCCAGCAGCATCACCCAAGATCATCAAGCTGCGAGAAGAACCGACAGATTACGCTGAAGCACAAAGAGGAAAGAATCCAGCCATCAACAGCACCTTGGTCCCTGTTAAGGGGATAATTAACCTTGGGAACACCTGCTTCTTCAATGCTGTTATGCAGGTTGGTAATAACACCGTTATTATTTTAGCTTGTGTAAAAAGGCTCAGTTAGTGACAGGATGCAGATGTTGCAGCAGAGAGCAGACATTTAGAAACCATCCCCCATCTCTTGTTTTAGTTGTATTAGCGCTGCAACTAACAATTGTTTTCATAATCGATTATTATATTGCTTGATTATTGATTTACCAAATCATTCAGTTCTTTATTTGTCAAATAAGAAAGTAAATATTTTATTGCCTAAGATGGAGTAACATAGCATTTAATTTATGGAAACATTTGTAGATTAATGATTAATCTTTGCATTAATTACTTAATAATTGGAATACAAAAGGTGCTTGACAGGAGATTTGGTTTTTTTGCTCAATTTGAGCCAGGTGAAGCTAAAGATTTGCTACTTAAGGATTTATGAGTGAAATTTAGTTATTATAAATGCAAAATATATATATTTTTAGTGCAGCTTTGGATAAATTACTGCTCTGAGGACTAAGCCGATTAATCATTTCAGCTTTTAATTATATTAAGTGACCTCTTCTTGAGCTAACGATTAATTGATTGCCAAATTAGTTGACGATAATTTCAATAATCAATTAATCACAATTAATCTAATTAACTGTCAGATCTATAGTTTATTAAGTGACATTTTTTGAGTCAATGAACAACCAATTAGTTGAAGATTATTTCAATAATCGATTAATCCCGATTAATCCAATTACCTGTTTCAGCCCTTTGTTATTTTATGACAATAGCTGATATAAATCTGAAGTAGAGCTGCGTAATAAAGTGCTGATCTCATCGCAAATAACCTGTTTACAAGTGATTACGACCCTTAGCGAATCACAAGGATTTCCATTTTGCCGCAGCGGTAAATATGTGTCTCTTTTGAACCTGTAAACACTCATCTATTTATGAGGCTGGTCCGAAGCGACGTTGAATACGGTCCCACAATAACAGTCCACCGGCCGCGTTGCGCAATGAAACACAGGTTCACAGCAGTTCACGTCGAGTTGGCTTGGAAACACCGACCTTGCGAGTGGTGCTCAGTCGGTGCAGAGCGCGTTGACAACACAGCCTCCTCCGCCGGCCCCTGGTCATGTCATGGTGACTGCAAACTGACATGCCTCTGCAACAATGAAGCTGTTTTTTCAGCCATTTTGTTAATCACCCTCAGGGTCTCGGCGGCTGATTGAAATTCGAGCGAGCGCGCTTTGCATGCTTCTCCCTCTCTCTCTGTCCTCTCTCTCTCGTTCGCTGTTTGTATTGTCCCCTTGAAAATTGCAATCTTTGTCAGTGAAAACACATAATTGTGAGAGGATGAGCAGTGTCTACATTCACAGTGCCAGCTTTATTGTGCGTTTTCCATAGCAACAGTGTTTATTGGCAGGATTTGACAAAAACAAATATCCATTGAAAGGCAGAGGAGAAAAAAAGTGCCTCTATAATGTGAAGCGGCAGCCATTGTTTCAGGCCAACTTCTCACCAAGGTTCCTTCTCTGTGTAGAAACACCACGGATCATAAATGTCTTTTTGAAAGCCTTTTTTCGAAAGCCTCTTTCAGAATAATAAGCTCACCTGAATTTCCAAATGCTGCAAAAATGGAAATAACAATTGGCATAGGTGTTACATCCAGCCTTTTAGAATTCCACAAGCAAACTTCGCTGTCATAAACCATTGATGCAACCATCAGAGGTTTTTGGCCAATTAGCAACTTTACTTTTTTTTGACCCTCTGACCATTTTTTTTTTCTCAGGAAATACAATTAACTCTGTTAACATTTATTTGGATCCTTCCTGCTGTAAGTAGAATCAGAGCCAACATCACATTTTAAATAAAATGAAGAATTCACTTATAAACAGAATTTAATGTTAAGAAACTAATGATTAGAGTTTATAATTTTTTTTTTTAGCAATTGAGTTGTTGAGCATTTTTAGCAGTAAGTATTGTCTCAAATCAGCTCCAGGTCAACTTGTTTCTTCAGAAATTAGACAAAACCTCATCAATGTGATATCAATTGATTCAAATCAATAGAAAGATTACTGGAGACAGGAAGACTATTTACGCTCTGAATTAATAAATGAAAGAGAGTTATGATTATATAAGTTAAATTTCATCATATTCTTTTTCAGACTCGAGGTCACCAAATAAGTGGTGTATTTACATGTATTTAAGTATGTAAATTTGATAGTAAGGTATTGTATTTACACTTAGAAACATGAAAGTCTTTATTATTATGTTTTGTGCTGCTGGTGAAATGTCTGTCTGAAATAAAAGATCATCAAATCAAATTGGAAAAAAAAATTGGAAACATTCCTCTGGAAAAAATTAGTTTAATTTCAAATCTAATTCTCTAAATGTCCAACTTTGAGTCGTCTCCTGTCAGTAACAACTTCCACAATGAAGGGTGTTGCTGGTAGCTCTTAGGTCTTAGATCTTTCCGGCTGGCGACCGCCTGTCACAGCTCATGAAGTTAATTATTAATAATTGGGTCTTAACACAGCTGAACATCTGTATGTGTGATGATAAAACAGATTCAGTGGAATTCAGTTTTTAGATGAATGAAATCAGAAAAATATTTTTCCTTTTGCTTTAACAGAACCTGTCGCAGACGCACATGCTCATTGACCTGATTCAGGAAGTGAAGGAGAAAGGATACAAGCTGAAGATCTGTCCGTCTGTCGAGACAAATCTGGTACAGTCTGCTGCCATATATTCTTCCTCTGATGAGATAAATGTAAACTCCAATTAGTCTTTTATAATTTTCCAATTCAAAATGTTCATGATTTGTATTTTTTCCCACAGAGATGATCGATAACATATCATAAGCAATTTAACATTCATCGGTTTTTGTATCCAATTGAAGGAAGCTTGAAAATGTGGATAAAGTCATAAAAACAAATTGTTTTGCTTCTTAGAGCTCAATTAAAGGGATGAATTTTTGATTCGATAACATGACATTTTCCTTCCAACACTTCCTTACTCTTCCAGAGTCAGCTGACTGTGGTTCTGTCCAGCCCCGACCCACTGACTGCAGCCATGATTCACTTCCTGCAGAGCATGAAGGAGTCAGGGAAAGGCCCCGTCAACCCCAAAGTCCTCTTCAATCAGCTCTGCCAGAAGTACGGTCTAACCCTTTATATCAGCATCTAATGCCTGTCACTCCTGATCTCAACTGTCTTAACTCTCTTGACAAAACTTTTATGGTTTTTTGGTCAATAATGTGAAAAAACTAAACATTCAGAGCTTTACAACACTTTTTTCGAGGCGCAACAACAAAAAGGTATGTTATTTTTTCTTCAACAAGCCTGACCTGGGGATTCCGATTTTGACCAGTACAGATTTTTACAACGCGCTTTCGGTGTTGAAAGTAATATTATGAGAAAAAAATCAACAATACTCACAAACTAGTTTTAACTGCACAATGTAGTGTTCTTAAATGTTAATAAAATATTATTACTGACCACACTGCTGCTAACTAAACTATACTACACTTGGACATTTTAAACGCAAAACTTGTACAGCAGTTTTGAGCCTCTTATCAAAACTAAAGTGAGGTCAGTTGAATTTTCTTTATCTTGCAGTGCAAAAAGAAAATACCCAAATGCAGCAGCTCTGTGGCTATTGAAATGTAAATAAGATCTGTTTCGCATGTAAATATCTGGAAATTGATCGGCGCACTGCTAGTTGTAATCATCTGGATCACACTCTTTCCCTCTCAGCCATAGCAGCCTTTACTTTCACCTGCTTTCATCCCGTTTCAGCAGCGCTGAACATTACTAACCAGGTAACACCTGCTCCCAGCAGGGCACTGTCATCACACTGTCCCTTATTAAATGATCAGCAGCTAACTCGGGCTAATCTCCATCACGCTGTGTGACCGGCAGACCCGGCGCCTTTTGCTTCTGCGAGCTGAACAGCAATGTTCTCTTTCATGAACAGGTTCAGTGACTTCCTGTTGAGAGTACAACGCACTACTGGTTGGGTCCAGCTTGCCTGTGTGTGTACTTGTATATGTGTGTACGTGGTGGGTCTCGCACTGTTTGGCAGTGCAGGTGGGTAACCAGGATATTTAATGCCGGGTGAGCGAGTCCGTCTCTGGTGCGGCTTTGGCGGTTATTCTGGTGCCTCGCCGTCATCAGACAGTTGGCGGTGTGCTTCTGTGTTGCGAGCGTGGACGGCCACCTCACCTGGCACCATCTCGGGCTGCAACACGCATGCAGGCAATTGTGCATTCAAACATCACGAAATGCCCACACCTTTATGCACTCATTCGCTTAATTTCAGGTGGGGCTCATCTATTCCACTGGCATGCATTCGTGAAGACAGAGATTTGGTTTTAAGCCTCAGCACCCATCAGCCAGTTACACATTATGTTTGCTTTAAAGGGGCAGTATAATGTAAAATCGACTGTTTTGAGCTTTGCGTCATGTTATAATGTTATTCCCTCATCCAAAATAAACTTGGAGTTTGCTTTATGCAGGTTTGAGAAATCGTTTTGGTCCATTCAGCTGTGCAAAACACCTAGCACCGTTTTCAAGGCAGAGCTCCTCCTCAGAGCTCCAGTTTCCAAGTTTATGAGCGTCAACCTAACCTCTACTCCCCCACTCAGCTCTTTCAGACTAACCAGCAGCAATTAGCAAACACCTGGAGTAACTGCACATCTGCTGAGCTCATTATACTTTCTTCTTTTAGTACAAAGGTGGAAAGAACCATTGTACTGAGAAGGGTTAGTAGAGGAGCCATGTTGTGATGACTTCCTGAAGGTGAAGTTTCAGAAAGAGCAGGAGTTTCTGTAACAGCCAGAGGCCCAATTTCTAGGCGCTAAATTACAAAAACAAATTTCCTTTAACTAATATTTCATATAAATAGCATTTTTATAACAACTGAAGGTAACATAGTTACTTAATTGTGCTATAAATTGGTACTATGTGCCTGGACAACACATAGTTCTTTCCCTTTATTTGAGACTATGAAATAATTACTGTTTTCTTCCAAGCAGAACATGTAGAAAAAAACAAACAAATCTTCTACTATTCACTGAGAAATAGTTATTTTTCTCCTTGGTGTGAAAATCGAAAAATAACAGCTTAAGAACATATTTTCACCTGTATACTAGAACTCTGTATATGTATCTAAACTGAGGCAATTTTGAAAATTCCTTAGTTTAATAAGTTTTCAGACAAAGCACCATGAAAGAACCAGAAAACCTGCAAAGTCTTTATTTGTTCTCCGCGATGCAGGTCTAGACATTTTGTGCTAGAAATTCAATTGAATTCTCCAATGTGACCTTGTTATTTTAGTGGCGATACCTCCCCGTTTCAAACAGTGGCACCTATTGAGTTGCACCAGAAAAGCAAATGTATATTAACCAAATCGCTTATTTTCTTTCACACCAACTGTGAGCGTTTTTTTTTCTTTTTTGTTTTTTTTTTATTTTTAGAAACTCCGTCTGTGTAAAATCCCATTTAAGATTACAAATATGTTGTAACTTTCTGTTTTCATTCTTTTAAACAGAAATCCTTGAAGGTGTTTGCAAATTTTTGACAGGAAAACAATTTTTTTTAAAACTTTATGCTTCAGATAACAGAATAATTCCCCCTTCTCCAAAATCCATCATAATCACTGCTGAATTTCTAATATTTGTTACGTTTAGCTTTTCTTTAAAAAAAAAAAAAAAAGTAACTACTGGCTCTCGCTTGTAGATGTAAGATTGTCTTGATGGGCAACAATCGTTTTTTAGTCATTCTACCTTAGTCTATTTATTTCAACTAACATCTTCATCCTAATATCCGATAACAGTGTTTTCATTGTGATTTTCTGATATTTTAAATAGGAACAAGCTGACTTTTTTTTTTTCATACATTGACATTTACAACACAGAAGTGTTAAGAGAAAAAATAAAACTGGATTTTACCAGTGAAATGCCCTAAAACGATTGCATTCTGCTGAGGCATGGACTGGTTGCGGACAGTAAGCTATACCACGGTTTTTAGACGTTACAAATTCAAAGCTGCACAACATATTAACATGTCACGATACAGCTTCGATTTAATTGAACTTATCTGCTATCGCTATGACGCTACACGCATTCATTTACATCTACCTCAACTTCCAAAAACAGCTAAAAACATTATGTGCCAATGTAAAAAGTGTCATTTTATTGTAAATCTTTTAAAGAGGAAACAAGACGTCTATAGAAATTAGGACTGACGTCAGTCTATAGAAATTAGGACTGACGTCAGTGTATGTGAGTGTTACAAGGAACACTTTTTGCAAGGTAAGAAGATTCACATTTATATACTTCCTAAGTAAGTAAGATGCAACTAAATATTGCAATTTGGAGAAGGTACAACATAAGTAACCATGGGGAACAAGCCCCACAATAATATAGGCCGTAAAAAATCCCCCCAATAAAACTAACACTGCTTTTAAGTCTGCTCTGGCGTAAGAGGAAATATTGTTTATAACACAATGTTATGTACACATTCATTCCTTTCTGAAGCCACTTTATTTTTTTATCACTGTCAGCCTCCTTCATAGAGCAGCTCGTCCACTTTCTTTCAGGTCTTGAGTTCTGAAATAAAAAGTGCAGGGTCAAGAATGTATATTTCCACAGCAGTGACCCCGTGTTGCAGCAGCACTCTGTGAATACACCCATCCGGAGCCGCTGCCGCTGCAGGGTCTTCCCTTTCAAGGAGGCTGGGTTTGCCCTTGACCTGCGGGGGGCTGACATCTCTTTTACCGCGTCTCTTTCAGCATCTTTTTCGGTGTGCGCCATGGCAAGCAGGTTAATAATGCTTTCTGGTTTCGAACTGAGGACTATTTGAGGACTGTGCGCCAGAGCCCTTCTTGGCTTTGTGTGTATGTGTGTTTTTTGCGCATGGGTTCACTTGGATTTGACCTCGACCAGCTGAGTTCCCTACAGCCTTCCTCCTCGTCCTTCTGCCAGAGCGCGGGGCTCCGGTCGTCGCCTGGACCGGCGCCAGGCTGTGTGTGGTCAGCACCACGCTGTATCTGGTGCCAGGGACGGTTCCAGCTTGTAACCAGCGTACTTCAAAGCTAGTCAACAGCTAGCTTGTAGCTAATGATGAGTCAGAGGAAACAAAAATAGGAGCTCACCAAGGTTTCAAATATTGGGTTCTACCCAATATTTCACAGTCCAAAGCAACATTTACACTTTTCAGTACTACTTTCAGTACATTTCTGTACCTGGATATACACTCCACACGTCACCAATATGTTAGCTGAACAGAATTATCCATACAGATATCAGTCTACACCTGCTTCTTTCAAGGGCTGATTCAATTTCAGGATAGCCACTGAACATGCTTTTGTGTTGACGTGTGCGTGATGCGAGCGTGAAAAGTACGCAGGCTCCCTCCTCTCTTTTCTATTGTGGATTAAAGTCTGCATACCCACATCATTCAAATATTTTCGAGGAATAAGCTTTGTGAGAAGCCTTTCATCCCTGATAGAAATAGCGGAGGACAACAATGAATTCCATCATGCGAGTCTCTCAAACGCCAGCGCACACATCCCAGGCCACATACTTTTAACGAAGCAGATATTCACACACACTTTTCAATTAGAGAAGTGTTAGATTGCGCATATCTTCCCAACAGAATATGGACGATTTTGAGTGTTTTTAAATACATTTGTTCGTGTTAGCCGTGAAATTAGACTTTTTTTTTTTTTTTGTCATGCTTGGTATTTTAAGCTATTCATGATGTAGCTAAAGAACCAAAAACAAATTGTAAAAAAACACTTTTTAATATTATTTGAAAATGAATAAATATATGTGGAACATTATATTGCGTTATTGCTTTGCAAATACATAATAGTGAAGCACCAATCAGAGGTTTTTTGGGTAATTAATGACCACCGATTTTATAAAGCTACGATAAGTATTTATCCTCCACTTCCTTTCTGTCTAACCACAAAATAGATTACTGTTTTCTGTGAACTAAAATTTAGCGATCAAAAGGAAGGCGTTTTTCACAGTGAAAAAATCATATTGGCATTTATCAAAATAAAAAAATGTATATGTAGTTACAGAGCTGCTTCTTTTTGCATCTCTGTAAGCAATAACATTTTTAAAAAGACTTCCTCTAGATCTGTGATAGAATTGAACTTTTCAAAAGGATAGAAACGAACAAATTTGGAATAATATGGTCAGCTTCCTGTTATTTGCTTTTATCAAGTGCTATCCTAACAGAATTCCTCAAATGCCTGTATAGAAAATTGAGTCGTCTTTCCTGAAGCACCTAAAACTTTTTGTGCTTCCCTCGATTTCCTTTATGCTCAGTTATTTTCATGGGAAAATTACTGAGTCCTCTCAGTAACAAATTGCACACCGGAGAGAGTTGTTGTGAGACTTGTTGAAGTCTAGGTGTGGTGCATTCATTGATGTTTGGAGGGGAAAAAGTCTCCTTCTTTTGCTTGTGAAAAATCAGACTAATTCCGTCACCAACCCCTTTCTGAGCATTTCCACTGCAAAACAGTTTTCAATAAGTTACATTAATTGATACATGAAATGCAAAATTTAACTAATAAAATTGTGTTTTAAGTTTCAGAGTGGCACTGAATACACTCTGTTTTTCAGCACCTTTTGAGCTTATACTTTGAATTTATCCCATTCAGATGTATTTCTGTATAATATGGCTATTTATGGGCAAAGGATTACTGTATTGTGTGAAGTGTGTGCCTCTGTTTTGCTCATACATGTATGTGTTCTGACTGGGTGGATGGATGGGGAGGGGAAGCTTGTGTGGCCTTGTGTCTGGTACTAACTCATCCGGCTATTAATTGTGTTAGCACCGCAGCTGTTTGCATTGGCCAGATTGAGAGCAGCGCTACAGGGCCCTTCTGCTTCCCTCCACTGGGATGAGCTTCCAGACCTCCTCATTCCCACTGATCCTAACAATGCTTTTCATTTCCAGTTCCATCTCCGTCTTTTCTATTTTGTGTATTCATTTTGTTACCTCCACTTTTCTATTCGTGCTCGACTGTGTGCTATATTTAGATTTTCTTTAGACCAAGCTGCTTCTTCCTATGTTTCTTTTGTTTTGTTTTCTAATTTGGAATAACTAAATTTATATCATCAGCTATAATTCATCTTCGTCTGTTAGCCAACAAACGTAATGTTCCTGCACACCCAAACGTTTTGGGACCTGTCAACATGTTAAATTTTCAAGGTTTCGCTAATCTTATCCAGGCTTATTGCCGACACTGTGTCAGTTTTCTGCAGTTTGTTATGAATTTGTAAATTTTGTGAGCTCAAAAACACAATGTTCTCAAGAGCTCCTACATTTTAAATGAAATAAATTGTTCTATTTCACCAAAACACCTAAATCAATGTGGCGCTGTTCAACCATTTCTTTTCTGATTCAGATTATCAATAGCCGATATTTCTTTTTTTGACACTTTCGTCTAATGCTTTTCTTTTTTATGTTGCAATAATTCTATTTTTAGAACATAAAAAACATAATAAAGTTGAAACCCAGTATCACTAGAGCAGTTAGGCATTCAAACATCCTTGGTATTGTTTGATGGCATCTCTAATCAAAAAATACTCCTCCTATTCAGTGAGCTGGCCCGACCAACCTGTCTTCAGTTATGTGGCTGGCTCGGTCCAACAGGTTGCCATGGCTCCAGTCTCGGCTGCCCATCTGCCCCTGGCATCTGTCCGTCACATCTGCTTCTCTGTGGACAGCCAGGGAGGAACCCAAGGAGAGCCTCCCCTCTAATTTCTTTAGCACTAATAACCCTTTTGGAGGTTGACTTTATTTTTGTTGATGAAATGTGAAAGAAATGCCTTACTGTATTATTGCCGTCTTCATGCTAAGACTTCTGTGGTTTAGTAAATTCAAGTAATTCTGTTATTATTGTAAGAGGGTTATTAAACCCCTTAACTGTCTGCCCCAAAACACTTGCATGCAAACCAATGAATCCATGAGAACAGCGGCGTCCTATTGACTGTTAAGTGGTTCGAATTAGATATTATTAAATGTATCTTAGCAAATTTGTAAAACCCCAATAATTATGTTAAATGCAGTAAAGGAAATGAACTGGTCTAATTTCGGGAGCAATTGGAAAGACGTCAACAGGATCCTTCGAGAAGCAATTGTTTCCGTCAGTCAATCTCAGAAGGGTAACGCTGCCATTTTCTAGCAACTTGCATTTCATTCCATTGTTAAATCATAAGACATTTAGCTGGAAAATCTTAATAGTAAATGCTCGAGACAATCTCAGATAAATTACAAAACAACAGAAGCACGTCTCCTTCTCCAATAGCCTTTTGTGTATTAAATGTTAAAGCTCATCTCTGTGCCAAAGTGTTGCTTGTTTGGGAGAGTTGCAAGGAGGATAAGAGCTCAGTATTTTCAAAAAAAATACGGTGGTAAATTGTCATAGAAAAGCTCAAATCTCACGTATCATTTAAAGTAATCATTGTTTTGACTCCTGACTTGTGAAATATGACAAATTATACCCTGATCTGGCAAAAACAATTCCAAATGACTTATTGCAGGTAGATATTATATATTAGATTAATAAAATAACATTTTCTTGAAGTAGACTGTGAAGAAAGAATAGAAAATTACTGGAAACCGCAAGTTGTCAAGGCAGGCATGAAATGTTCCCCTGACATTCATATAATGTCCTGCATCAGAAAGAGTTGCATTTTGCACCTGGAGAAAAATCCGGATGTAAAAAAAAAAAAAAAAAAAAAAAGACAGGCGGCAAAAAGAGCAGCACCAGTTTCCCAACTAAATATCGTCTGGAGTCTGGTTTGTGATTTTGGAAACGATAATGATAATGTTCAGATACGTAAAGCTATAGAACTATATAAGAATATAGAGCTATAGAAAGAGGAGAGACGTTTCTTTTTGCCTTGGCATTTTCAATATTTGCACCTTTATGTTCAGATCTGTGCCAGTTCGTTCTGTACTCAACAATGCAGCCGTCATCAAAGTTTATTTGCCTGATAGTCTGTCATGTCTTCCCCTAACACACATACATTGTGTGAGTAATCTGAGCTCCTTCCAGCCAGGATATCATCCAACAATGAAAAGGTGTGAAAAGGCCTTCACTAAACCCAATTGTAGATTCATCTTTTGTTCATGTTTCTTTTGTTTCTCAGCTCATTGTGTGAGGGAGTTCTTTCTGACATCATTGGGTGTTTGTTTTGTTGTCTGCCAATGTTTGTTTTGTAAAATGTTGAAGATTCACTCCCAACACTTTCTGCTCACTCTAATGTTTCTTTTTTTTTATTTCTTTTCCAGACTTTCTGTTTCTCTGTTCTTCTCACTATTATTATTTCGTCTGATCTCCTAGTTTTGTTCTGTTGCAGAGCTCCACGCTTCAAGGGCTACCAACAACAGGACAGCCAGGAACTTCTGCACTACTTACTGGACTCCATAAGAGTAGAAGAAACTAAAGTAAGTTTACAATCTGTGGAATCAGAATGGGATGGCAACTGCCCTTTATTTTTGATTATTAATTGAATAAAAATGGACTTGTTCTGCAGACTTTTCAGTTTGACTTTACAAAATGGGAAATACTTGAAAAATAGCAATAACACATAGATAGAAAAATGACCATTTTCCTGGTGCAGTGCCTAAAATGCAGCTGCACCATTCCTTCATTAGATGCTTAATCATTTGCAGCAAAGGGTGCAACTGCACCCAAAATAAATATTTCTAACATCAACGTGAAAAGCTCAGCCCTGTCTGCTTGACTTAACATCAACTGTTCATTATTTTTGTATTAACCAATTAATAATTAGTGACCTAAAGTTGCTTAATAAGAGATGCTCTTTCAGTAAATGGCCTTCTTTCAGCCTATATACGCCAGTTAACAATTGATTACTAAATTAGTGACAGTCATTTCAAGAATTTATTAATCTAATTGATTGATTCTTTCTTACTTACTCTCTTACATAAATTGATGTATCTGAAAGTAAGGCATTAATAATCCTCCTGCAATATTAGTGTGATGCTCAGAATGAGCCTGGTAAATGTCACAGTTGGACAGTGGGAAGTCATCGGTTGGTGTCCGTCAGACCGTCAGTTCCCGAAACCACACAAGAAAAGCTTGTAAAATGCATGTGGGGTCAGTGCAACTCCCCCTTGGACTGCACACAGTGTCAGAAGCTAGTGGGTTACAAAGATCTTTGAAATTTTTGACTTGTAAGATCGCAGGAGGGTTAAAATACCTTAAATTTATTAGAAAAATGCAAGTTGGCCTTAAACACGCTAATCAGAGGTCTTAAATTTTGTGGTGGCAGAATTATTTCATATTTTTCTCGTGGAACTTCCCCATCAGACAAATGTTGGAGTCGTATGCCGACATTTTCATTATGTTTTGACTCGAGGTGGTTGAGGCTTTTGCTAACCAACTGCTATCCTACCCTTGCTAGCTTGCTAGCTAGCGTTTTGCATCTACAATACAACGGGTAAGTGTAAATTTGTTGCCAGTTGGCAGGATGACGTTTGTCTTTGCCATCGACTCACGTCTTTTGCCAATCCATACGATGCAACACTCATTCTGTGCAAAAAAAGCTTGACTCTACCATTATATAAAATATACTGTTTTCTTTTGTACATGTCTGTCATGATGCAAGTCTTGCATTTCATTTAAAAACCTTGAATTTGAGTTGGTGAAACCTGCAGAAACCCCGATGGGTTTTTTTTCTTGGCAAACACGGAGGTCCCCCACCTTCGCTCAACCCCTCCACAGGGCAATTAGGAGACCCCACATCATCTCTTTGGAAGGGGCCCACCAGTGCCAATGTGAACCAAGGAGGAGAACTTAGCGGGTGTATTTAGTAGTCAGCCTCAGGCCTAGGAGGAGCCACAGGCTGGGCTCCCTCTGCTCCCATTCAAACTTGTGAACGCCAACAGTTGTGCCACTTAGGGGGCTTGCAAGTGGCACTACCGGCATCATTGTGTGATCTTGGGAAACCCACAGCTGCTGAATGAGCTCCAGGGCCGTTCCATTGTGCTCGAGGGTAATCCAGAGCCCCTTCCAGCACACACACACACACACACACACACACACACACACACACACACACACACACACACACACACACACACACACACACACACACACACACAATCACCGCCAATCCAATCAAGGAAGCAGAAAAGGAGGGTGTGGGGGGGTACCTCTATTCATCCACTCAGAAACTCATTTTTACAGCAAAGATACAGTGGCATTGTAAACCCCAAATTGTGGAATATTTTTAATTGAACGCACACATTATCCCAGTTTCCTTTCTAGCGACCGAGTGGACAATAGAAAGCAATCAAAGTGGCTTTGGTTGCTTTTGCATGCCAACAGCGAATTTTAACCACAGTTTGAAATGAATCCGTCTTAATAATCGAAGAAAAAATGAAATAGAACTGCACATCAAACAACAGAGCGACCCGTGCTTTCCTTGACCGTGGGTCAGGAAGAGACCGGTGCTTTTCCCACTAGGAGGTCACAAAGCTTCAAGTCGCCCCAAGTGTTTGTGTTGATCGCCCATTAGGCTCAGAGATCTGAATATGCTAATTTGGGCCCAAGCAATTATCGGCAATTAACCGAGATGGGGAATATTTCTCTCATCAGGCGCTTCTTCGCCTCCATCTTCGCGTTAGCTTCCATGTACCAGTCCGACGGCCCCCACTCCTCCCCTCCTATCGTCTCCGGGACAGTGCACCCTTTTATTTTTGGGAGGGAAAGGAATCGCAGGGAAGGGGGTTACTGGTAATTAATTAGTAGGCGAGTCGCAGCCTGGTTTGACTTTGGTGGGATTAGTGGGGGCTTTTTGACCTAAATAGCCAGTTAGGTGCATGGGTCCTGGGACAATGGGGGTCGGTGGGGCTGATTGGTCATGACTCAGACATAGACCTCGGCCTATTATCTATTGATTGGTGCTTTTACAGTGGCTGTGCCTCTTTACAGCTCTCTCACCAACACACTCACTGACCATGTCACCTTCAATGAGAGGGGCTGTACCTAAAACCTACACACACACACACACTCACGCGCACATACAGTTCATTATGAGATTTACACAGTAACAGTTATAGACAAGCACAATAATTATTTTACACTAATGATGCCTATAATGGGTATACCTGTCAAACTGGGCTGCAGGCTAGATTCTGATATCTCACTAATTTGTATAATAATAATAAATGCTTTAACCCCAACTACCCACATATCCTCACGGATGAAAGAGGATGTTTAGTTTTACACCATGTTTCTATTTCCGAACAGCATTTTAAGGTTTAACTGTCGCTGTTTGTGTTTCTCTTTTGCTTGCAGAGAGTGAAAGCGGCTATTTTAAAGGCATTCAACAATCCAACAGAGAAGACGGCAGACGAGGAGACCAAACGCCAAGTCAAAGGTTGAACAAACAGCACTACAAAGATGTCCAAGACAAATACTTCCACCTGGTGGTGGTAAATGAAAATGCAGTCACAAGTCAAGTCAGATGATAGTTTAAAAAAAAGATGCACAATCATTGTTTCACTCTTTTGTTTCTTGTCTTGTTTTCTGATGTTTTTGTAATCCTTCTTAATTTTGAAAATTGTCCCTTTCTGTTTTTAAGCAAGTTTCAATTATTACGTGTCTGAACACTGATCTGGGCTAAGCTAAAGCATTTCATGAGCAATTCAAACGCTGGGAAACACAACTAAAAATGTTTCTCTTCTCATCAGCATATGGAAAAGAAGGTGTGAAGATGACCTTTGTTGACCGGATCTTCGTAGGCGAGCTTACCAACACGATAATGTGCGAAGAGTGCGAGCATGTAAGTGCATGTGGCAGGGGGGGGAAAAAAAGAACAAATGGCCAATGAAGCAGCATAGTTTTATGTGTTGTGCTGAATTCAGCCACCATGTAGGACAGAAGCAGCTGTTTAATTTGTCGTGAACTTCTTTCTCTTCTTTATCGTTTAGCTGTAAGTGGTTGCTAAGGAGGGCTATTAGATTTCCAGCTGGAAAGGCATTCCTCATTAGCCTCATTTGGCAGATATTAGTTTTTTTGTACCTAAAGTCAAGACAGCTTAAAAAAAGAAGAAAAAAAAGGAATCATTTTATTTACAAGGTGGAGAAGCCATTAACCGTTTCTAAGTTAGTTATGCACGGAACAAATGTCGATGATATAATAGAATAAAAAGTCAGAGGGAAAAAAAACAGGAGGCATTGATGGGAAAAAATAAAACGAAACAAAAGGCACTTCAAGGACCAGCTCCAACACCGACTGTTTACAGCAGGACTGCAAGAGCTGCGGCTGTTTAAGAAAACGATTGCCACCGTGAAAAATGAAAGAGGACGCCTGCAGGAAGAGAGCGCCAGGTGTGCAGCCGGAGGGAAAGAGAAAAGGAAAAGAAAAAAAGGCAAAAGAAGCTGCAGCTTCTTCACTTAAATGGGAACAAACTCTGCAGCTGAAGTTTGAGCCCATGTGGAAAAATGGAAACCTGCGTGTTTTTCTAAAATACTTGAACATGCCACATTTTAAGTCACACTTTTTGTCATTATTTAGCTGCTCCTGTGACTTGTATACGTTTTGCTCTTTTTCCCCGTCTTGTCGTATTTCTTGATTAATGTGACTCTTATTCTGGAGCAACTTATAGTCTGGAAAATACGGTGCTCATATTTAAAATCTTTTTTTTGTAACACTGAAAAATGTCAAGCATTAAAATCAGACATTTGAATGAAAACCTAAAAAAATTTGGTAAAATGGGGAGAAATAAAATTAGAGAGATCTACATGTATTAGTACTCGAAATGGATCAAATCAGACATTTAAATAGAGCATATTACACTATACATAAATCATTACAGCAGCACTACTCAGCATTTGAAGGTTTTTTTTTTTTAACCTAATTGAACTATGGATGGAAAAGAGCTAAATAACCTTAAAAATAAATCAAATAAATTCTACAGTGCGGAAACTGGTATAGAAGTTGAGGATATTTCTAAATACCCAGAGATCCAAGTTTCTGATGATATAAAAGTGGCCACCATTTTTGAAGTTGTCCAGAAAGAGATCGCACAACTTTTCTGTTTGTAATAAAAACAGAAACCCAGGCTAAAGTATAGAGACGGACAAAAACCAAGCCTTCTAGATTACTCTTTGAACATTTGACTCTAAAAATAAATGACCTCTTTCCAACTGTGAAGCACGGCGGTGGAAGTGTCTTGGTTTGAGTCTCACCGTTATAAAACCCACATTGACCATGTATAAGAGGAATGTCAGATCATCTGTTAAACATGTTTCTTATTTCATGAAAAGCTTATCTTTCTTATTCTATTATTTTCTGGACCTTTTCTAAATAAAGAGCTTTATACACATATGCGGACATGCTTTCATGCCCACACGTTGAGCTTTTCTGTCATTTCCTTTCTAGATCTCAACAGTGAAGGAAGCCTTCATAGACATCTCTCTACCAATCATAGAGGAGAGGGTGAGTCATTTTGATTCATATTCAACGCCAGCTGCTTGGTGGAATTGAAAGTCGCTCTTGTACTTGCTTTTCATTTAATATTGACTGTTTTTTCTCATTTTTCTTCTTATTATCATTATTTCAACCCGTCCCCCATCTCCTCAGATATCAAAACCGTCCAACCCGGGTCGCCTGGGGAAGGGCAGCCGGGAGCAGGACATCCACGCAGCCCACAGTGAGCAGGTTCTTTCAGCAGCGCACTCTGTCAACAAGAACTCCAGGAAGCTCAGCGGACCGGTGAGGCTGCCAAGGCAAACCGCTTCCTGCTGTCCTCCTGCCAGGAAATCAAATTTAAATGTATTATTCTCAACACTAAGTCCCAATTATTGCTTTTTAGTGACTTAACTTGCATACTTTACTTACTCAACTTAACTCACTGACTCCACTTACTTGCTTTGTCCAGGTGTGAGATTGCTAGAATCTATAAAGTACGGAAAGTTCACGTTGAAAGTGTCCACAAATAATTAAAACTAAGAGCTAGGTACTTTTCACCTTTGGAAAAATATCCTACGTTTTTAGTAGTTTTTCATCCTTCTCTTCGAAAACAAATATCCTGAGAATCACATCATGTTTCAGAAACATTTCTTATTAGCATACATTTCAGATATTTTTTGTTGTTGTTGTTAAAGTCTCTATTAAAAGTGAGATGAAGCTCACAGTTCTGCGTGATTGTTGGTTCCAGTTCGTTTGTGCACAAATCTTAAACAAAAAGCTGTTCTCCTGTTTCAGAAGCTCAGCACTGTAGTTGAATGATTAACTGTCTTTGCTGCTCATTTTTATAAAATGGCCAAATTTGTAAAAGTACCTGACCCACTTTTTGCTACTTCTCTTCCAGAAACAACTCAACAGACGACCGTCCAGCTCCGTGGAGGAGAAGGGAGCGGCCTGCTGTGCCGAGCGGGGCGAAGAGGAGGCGATTGCCGGCGGCTCAGCGCGCGGCGTCTCCGTGTGCAAGATGGCGGCGGCGGGCAGCCTGTCAGACGGCAGCGAGAGAGATTCTGGCGCCCAGGACAGCAGCAACGACGCCGACAGCGAGGCGTCCGAGAGCGAGTGGGCACCGCGCGGCGCCGCCTCCGGTCACGGCCACGCCTCCACCCCGTCATCCACCTCCACCCTCACCCCTTCCCCCACGCCCGCCTCCTCCTCTTCCCCCGCGTCGTCGTCGGCTTCCGCTAAGCAGGGCGGCGCCGTGGAGCAGCTGGTCACCGCGGTTTCTAAAGTCAACCTGGGCTTCTCTTCTTCTCCGGGGGACATGTCCGCGTCGGGTCACTGTCCCCCTGAGGAGCTGGGCGATGGCCAGAGCCGAGACCAGCAACACCACTACCACCACCAGGGGGCGTTCCAGGCCCTGTCGCACAGTTACACTCCTACCTCCAAAGAGTGCTCCATCCAGTCCTGCCTGCACCAGTTCACGTCGGTGGAGCTGCTGATGGGCAACAACAAGCTGCTCTGTGAGAACTGCACCGAGCGCAGGCAGAAGCAGCTGCGCAAGAGCGGCGCTGCAGGTTAGACCCAACGCCTGACATGAGCAGCTCTATGTTCATAGCTCTGCAAAAACAGAGCTACGAACATAGCTCTGTTTTTGCTATCTCACCAAGTATTTTTGGACTAGTTTATAGTACAAATATTTTAGTTTTGTCTCATTTCAAGTATTTTAGGATATTTTTCATATATATATTTTTCATTTCATTCATTGATAAAATTTTGTGTTTTTGCAATAGGTCACTTCTCTTTTTTGACTTACCTGGCATTTGAGTGGAATAACGTCTCCTGTGGCTAAAAAATACAAACACGTGATTTTTAGTAATAAAACCAGTCGAAGTTACGTTTTATAACTATAACATACTTTAAAGGAATTCTGCCAATGTAGATTTTCTCTGTTGTTGATGTGTTTTGCAGTGTAACACTGCAAAAATACAAAATCTCACCAAGTACTTTTGGTCTAGTTTCTAGAGAGAATATCTTAACACACGTGAAATAAGACAAAACCAACTCAAAAGTAGCTTTTCAGCAAGATATAGGAGCTTGTATTCAGTCAACAATTTCTTAATATTGATGAAAACATTCTAGTTTCATTGGCAAGTTATTTTACTTATAACAAGAGATTTGTCCCATGTCTTTAAAACTCTGCCAGTGGACAGGTATTTTGAGATTAAGGAATTATTTACTTCAAATAAGCTCTCACACCTTGTTGAAAAGTGACATATGAGTTAGTTTTGTACTGAGATATTTGCACTATAAAGTTTGTAAGATTTTTGTTTTTGTTGTTGCAGTGAAGTAAGAGTAGATCTGTGATACCGTCAGTAGGATGGTTAACCCGGCGGTCTACAGCCCTGAATTGTGATTCTGTTACGGAGGTTCCACTCTGAAACAGAAACACAATCAACCTCCATGTACGTTTTACATTTAATTTCAGGATCTTCTGACGCTCAATGATTTTTTTCCACAGATAAGAAAATTGAGAAGATTTACACCAGCGCCAGGAAACAGATGCTGATATCCTTGCTGCCTCCTGTCATCACGCTGCATCTGAAACGCTTCCACCAGGTAGGATGCCTCCTGTTCAACCACGGCCATCAGTGCTGAAATATGGTACATACAGCTTAACTCTGTGTGTGTGTGTGTGTGTGTGTGTGTGTGTGTGTGTGAGTGTGTGTGTGTGTGTGTGTGTGTGTGTGTGTGTGTGTGTGTGTGTGTGTGTGTGTGTGTGTGTGTGTGAAGGCAGGAATGAACCTCAGGAAGGTGAATCGTCATGTCGACTTTCCTCTCATCCTAGATCTGGCTCCTTTCTGCTCTGCGTCCTGCAAGGTAGCATCATATTTCCACAGCTCAAAAATTCACTTCTTTCTCAATTGTGGAAGCAATTATTTTGTATTTGTTTAAATCTTTATGTAAAATAAGTCAAGCTCACTTTAGATGTGTTTAGTCACCAATAGACAAACTAGTAAATTAGTAAATGACATGGCAGGCTGTGAAAACCACTCTAAGAAAATAAAGTAATTATGAGAATGAAGCCGCAATACTAGAAGAATAAACTCATAAGAGAATAAAGTCAGAATATTATGACTTTAATTTTATAACTTTATTTTTGTAATTGTATAACTTCTTGACATATTTTTATGTTTTTATAGTAGAGTCTTAACACTTGTCTTAGTATTGTCAGAGTGAATTTGTTGGTGACGACAAAATCACCTGCTGTATGGCATCTTTATTTTTATGTAAAATGTGTTAATTTATTAAAGGAGTTGCACATTCCTTTTTTGTGTCTTTCTTTCTGTGCTGCACGGTATCCAGAACCTGGCTGCCGGCGAGCGCGTCCTCTACAGCCTGTACGGCATCGTGGAACACAGCGGCTCAATGCGGGGCGGCCACTACACCGCATACGTCAAAGTGCGAGCCCCTCAGAGGAGAACGGAGCAGCGCCACAAGAACCTGTCAGGTCAGGGGTCAGCTTCTTTACCGTCTGGCATTGTTCTGTGGAAATCTTGTGAAAGATTTCCACACATCTTTTTTATTTATTTATTTATTTCCTTTTTCGCTCAAAGAAAACCGCACGCATTGGGAAAGGTCTCGGAAACCCGAAGGAAGCAAGCGTCCTTAGAATAACGTGATGTCTTCTTGGGTCAGCGATAAGAGCTGCTAATAAAAGCTCATCTGTCGCAGTTTGTTCTTCTCTCCGCTGCTTTCCTTTGAATTTTAAAATGGTGCAGTTAGTGCGAGCGCCACATTCTGAAGTGCTGGGAAACTGGCATTTAAATTGTGCCTCTTGTGCCAGTGTCAAACTATCGAAGGCTGGAAACTCAAACAGAGCCGAGGTGGCATCCGCAAACTTTAAAACAATGCTCAAGGCCAAGGATGAATGACTGTAATATTTATATTCTCTCTTTTTTTGGTGAAACTAAAAAGGTTGCCTTCAAGTAGTTTATTTCAAAGGAGATTTAACAATCTGGATTGCTTCACTTTGTATAGAAGGATGCGTTTTACAGACCTTTGCTCCACTGTTCTTTTTAGTTCTGTCACATTACCAGACTTTTTGAGTGTGAGCAACCACTTAAAGTCATTTCACAAACTCCAGATGTCAACCAGGCCAATCCAAAACTCCTTTTTGTTTTAATTTGAGACTTTCTGAGGTGGAACTACTGAAGCGCTTTGGGTTATTATGCTGCTTAATAAGCAAAGCACACTAGAGCGTGAGGTCAGGAACTGATGACCAGATGTTCTCCTTGTGGAGCTTCTGAATCCAGGTTTAACTTTCCATATCATGTTCTTTTTCTAAAGTGCTATATTGATTTCCTGCCAGATTTTCCACACACCTTCTAAAAAGCTCAACTTTTGTCTCGTCGGTCCTCGGAATATTTTCGCAAGAGGTCTTGGGAATCATCAAAATGTTGTTTCGCCGTTGCTTTCTTCTCGATTAACCCTAAAAGCCCTTCCTTGTAACTCTTTCTGCTTTTGGACTGAAGCAAGTGAGGAATCCACTGCCTTAGATGTTGCTCTTCGGTTTTTGTTACCTTCAGCGGTTGTAGAATAGTTCCAGTAGGAGTGCACTGATTGCAGTTTTCTGGCCGGTCACCGATTGAAAAGCTCGACAGACCAATTCAGATTTTGACCAATAATAATGTTTTTGTTCCTGAAAAGTCCTGATAACTTTTTAGCAGGATATGAGCTTGATTTAAGTCAGTAATTATTGACCTTTACGATGCTGACGCTGTCCATGTTTTTTAGGTGCAAAGGAGGCCGGCGGCAGCTCCCAGGGCCAGTGGGTGTACGTCAGCGACACCACCGTTCAGACTGTACCCGAGTCCAGAGTACTCAGCTCTCAGGCATACCTGCTCTTCTACGAGGAAATGCTGTGATCCTCCGCATCGCTCTGCTTCTTTTGATCTATTTTTGGTTTTAGAAAAAAAACAAAAAACAAACCTCAACACAGCTCCTCATGCAGTTCGAATACAGGAAGAGAAGAAGAAGAAGAAAAAAAAGGGAAGCGTCTATCTTCTTAACTGGACATTTTCAAACACGAAGAATATGCAAGGAAAAAGAGAAAAAGTAAATGTCGACACCATCTGGATATTACCTAGAATTTCATCTCAGATCCTGAATTCAAATCTCCCGTCTCCTGGGAGCGCGCTTCAGAGAAAGACTTGGCGCTAGATGGTATTTCTAATTAATCTCGGCAAGTCTGAATACCTTCCTGAAGGTATAAAACGCATGACGGAGTTTGCTACCGTAACGAACTAGCAACTAGCAGAATCAATGCATGCCTACCCGCAGTCTGCACTGACTTGTTGATGTCAATACATTGTGTGTCAGAATGAATGATTGAAAGACAAATGAATGTAGCTGAAAGGTGCTACGACTATCAGTTTGGGCAGTTACAGTAAATATATCAATATATTTCGTCTATAGTGTCTGTGTTTATGCTACTCTGAATTACACGATAATATTGCCAAGTTGCTCTTCCAAGATCTGTTTGTCTGCAGCTTCTTTAACGTTGCCATCGCTTGTATCCCATCATGCACTTGCGAGAGGAGAATCACTGTCTGGTATGAGATTAGCTGCAGCGCTATTTCAATTTTAAGGTCGCTGTGGGTTATTAGGGCATTTGTTAAAGAGTAGTTGTCAGAAGAACACAGGGTCCAATTTTGCTTGTCATTCAGTAATCCTGGCAAAATGGAAGAAAATGTCACTTCTGTTACGCTAATAGTCTCCGGTTTATGCTTTGAAAAGTTCAAAACGACTTAATCAGCAATTTTACCTCATATTTATTTTAAAATACAATTTTTGTTGCTTCAAAAAGTTGATTAGAGGTATGTGTGTGGCTGCGTTCATCCCGCCTTGCGAAGCAAAACTTCACATCGAGTCATTATGTGTTCAATCAGCGGGGAAACGAATGAAACAAAATAAAAAAAGAGAAATAAAGTTAAGTCTTCTTCCCTCTGAAACAACTTCTATTCTGAAGGTTGTTCTTAATTAGAGCGACCTGGTAACACTCAGGTGTGGGCCTATTGCTCGCCACATATCGCCATCTGATTACCGATTGGTCGAGCCTAAAGTTTGACGACTCCTCATTTCTTGATATTTCTTTACGTCTTTTTTTTTCTTTCTGCTGTACAGCAAGGACAAAACAATACATTATGAGACAGAAACATATCAATGTAAGTTGTCCTTGTGTTGGTAATAATGAGAAACCTGCTAATATTACTAAAAACAAATTGTATTACCTTTTAAGAGCAGTTTCTCTTAAGTCTATTTGCTTTTTATTTCATAGGAATGCACAAATGTCAGACTTTCGTGACCGAGTTTGCCAAAGACACATTTTTGCATCGGGTGTGGAGCTTGCTGTGACTAAAAGCACTCAAGCAGAAATGATGTGTTTTACAGAGCTGCAGATGTTATCTTCCTCCATAAGAGCGAGCAAAATTAAACACTCTTCATATCTAAAGAAATCCACAAAGGCTGGTTTGGAGGGGAAATGAATGTATTGCCTTATTTTGGCGTCGGAGTACTGTTTTTGTTCTCGCTTGCTCGCCAGTCACTTGCCACCAATGTATGAAGAGCGATCAGACTATCGGGTCACGACCTTCAGTTTAAAGAAAAAAAGGATGAATTCAGTGCCTCTGCCTTCATATTAACAAACGTGCGCGCGATGAGAATAAAATACTTGCAGAGTAAATTAAACAGGGATGTGTGTGTGTGTTTTATTTATTTACAGTGTGTAGAATTTTCTGTCGGCAGAAACGGCACAAAATGTGTGTAATTTGTATAAAAGAGAGATGGTACAAAAACTCATGGTGCTTTAGGGGTGAAAGATCCCCAACCCCCCCCCATTTGAATTGAAAGTAAGAAAAACTGAAGTCCTGTAACTCTTCAATGAACCTTCTGGAATCAGTATAAAACTCATTGTATGGAAATAAACCTGATTTATGAACTGCACAGTCTGCAGGACTCCTTCATTTTCCCCACTCCATCTTTTTGTGGAGCTTGCTAAAGAGAGGTCAAGACAGATTTTATGTTTCCTACTTTGAAACTGTTGTCATATTGTGTGTGTGTTTTTTTATTTTCTCTGTCTGTCTGTCTGTCCGGCGCTGTCACTGCGCATCCCGCCCATCGCGGCCTGTTCTCGGCCGTGACGGGTGCAGAGCAGCACTGCTTCGGAACATGTCGCGAGCTGGTGAAGAGGAGGTGGGTGTGGAATCATGAAAAGGGCAACGTCGGAAAGCATCGCGGCGCGTGTCCTCTCCCGACTCCTCGCGCGCGGCGACGTGCCTGTCACACAGCTGGAACCGGGTGTCACGCGGCCACCAACGAAAACTGCAAATCCCTCCTGAAATGTGTTTTGTCTATTTTTTTTAAAGGGGTTAGTGGGGGGTGTAGCTGGAGGAGACGCTGCTGAGGCGTTTTGACGTGATTTAATCTCACTTAATGAAATGCGTGCCTTCTTCCCTTCCCCCCCTACAACAATTTGTGAGACACTGGGAGGAAAGTAATGAGGTGCTGCTGGAGTGCTGCCTCTACCAGCAGCGGAGGTTAAAATTGTCCTCTTCGCCATCCAATCTGCCGTCGCTGTCGGCCTCACCTCCCACATTTCCTCGCGCTAACGTCGACGCACTCGGACGGCGCGCGCCCGGGGCCTCGTTCCTCTCAGGGTGTGGTGTGCAGGGCAACACCTGCAGAAAGGCTTCATCAGGGCTTGGCAAGCGATTACTTTGACAACCCGAGTAAGCATTTAGTGTAGATTAAAGTTACAATAGAAAACTTTTGTTAAAAAAAAATATATATATAGCCTATGTAGGCCTACATATAGGCTATATACACTGCTCAAAAAATAAAGGGAACACTCAAATAACACATCCTAGATCTGAATGAATGAAATAAATATAAAAATAATTTCCACCTGTTGTCTATTCTATTTGCACAAAAGCAGATGATATTGATTATCAATCAGTGTTGCTTTCTAAGTGGACAGTTTGATTTCACAGAAGTTTGATTTACTTGGAGTTATATGGTGTTGTTTGAGCGTTCCCTTTATTTATTTGAGCAGTATATATGTATACCATTTTTATATTTTCTTTACTTGTTCAAGCTGTCATCATGTCCTGATATGTGAAAGGATCCATCTCCTCTACCGCCTCCAATGAGGTAGAGGAGATGGATCCCAAACTAAAAACGACCAGTCAAGAGCCAGGAGGAGGTTCTTAATGTTGTCAATCAACTGCTCAACATGCTAATGGCTGGGAAATTACTTAGAATTACAGGAAAACTGTGCTCATACTAACTGACCTCAGTATTTATGACATTCTTAGCTAGCTGCAGCGCAGCGGAGAGAAAGGGGCCAGCAGGGGGGCTCTCTTCTGCTTTGGCCCCGCTATAATTTTGATTCGCCTGTGATGGTTCACCCACCAAAGATTGTACTGGTGCTGCGTTTAGATGCCCCGCGCGCTCGTTGACTTTTTTAACATCACATCGTGAAATCCAACAGAAAAAGTATTTAATTCATCCACCACTAAAAAGCAAATAAAGTATTTTGGTCTGGCTCAATATTTAGTTGACTGATATTCTTTTTAATCATTCCTTGTTTGTTTTATTGAAGTGTTTTTTGAAACAGAAAATCCTGACATATGAAAGCTGTGTACATTTTAAGTAACAAAAAAAACCTCACCTCTAAGAAAGTCCCACCATTATTTATTTATTCATTTTGCTTCTTTCTTTTTGAACATACAATCTAATTCGTTGTGCTTACGTGCAGCGTGACACGTCTTTACCGCTCCTAAACTTGAGTCTCAACATTCCCAGTTTTCAGTGAAGGCAGCACAGCTCCGCTTCCTCCCGTACAGCTTCTTGCTAACTGCAGCCATTTTGATTTGAACCGCATCTCCGGAGAGAAGCAGACTGGAAAAGGTGGGAATTGTGTTACGCTGAGAAAAGCACGCGTGTTTAATTTGACGTCTGCTCCCCTTTCAACAGCTTGACGGACCACGGACTCGCTCCCGTGTTGCCTTAGAGATAACAACCGAGTCCCTGGCGAGCTCTAAATCTTAGCTAACATTAGCCGATGTTAGCTTCCTTAGCTCCATGTTCGAGGCTGTCTTGGAGGTTGGCATTTCATCTGCCCGTGCGCTTTATTTTGGTCTCGCACGTCAACGTGACACAAGACTCTTCGCTTCACCTCGCCTGTATCCAGCTGAAAAAACTGTCAGCGGTTTTCAGGAATCCCCGGCGTTTTTAGCTAGTGAGCCAGCGGCTACGTTGGCGCTTTTCTGGCTGTTGGCGAGAGGAAGGTGTGTTAGCCTGCGCATGTCGTCTTAGCCAAACCTGAATGTCACTTATTCGGGATATTGCAGGTGTTACTGCGGAGAGGAGAGATGTGGGACCAGGGAGGACAGCCGTGGCCGCAGTGGCCTCTGAGCAGCCAGCAGCAGTGGATGCAGTCCTTCCAGCACCAGCATGACCCAGGTCAGTGAAAGATGCGTTCACGTCCTAAACATTTTTTTTTCTCTTTCTTTTCTCCAATTAGAAAAACGCCGCGCGATTGTTTGTGATTGTGTATTGATATGTTGAGTTTATTTGGTATTTATTTAGGTCAAGTGGACTGGGCTGCTCTGGCACAGGCCTGGATAGCCCAAAAGGAGTCAACAGGAACACAACCGCACAACATTCAGCCCAATGGTCAGGATCTCCCCAGCCATGATTCTGGTCCACCTGCTCCGCCGGCGAATCATGGAGCCTTTCAGGGTGAACCAGGGTTTGGACGGATGTGGCAACCAGGTAAACGCTGGAGAGGGTTGGGAGAATGCTTTGATTTGACTGTAGGCTTTCTAGAGAGCCACTTCTCAGGTCAGTTCTGCTCCAACTAAAAGATCAGAACTCTAAAGCGTCTCTGATTCAACACATACCTAAAGGGCTCAGCTAGGTTTAGCTTTTTTTTCACTCTTTGTTTTGATATGACATTTTAAGTATTTAATTTATAACATTTGTAGTGAATTGTTTGGAAAAAGCGTTCAGGGAAGGCTGTTTTTCAGGTTTGTGAACTTAGTCCTTTGCTGTGAATGTTGTTAAATGTAATAACTCGTGTTTCAGCAGTTCTCTGTCCTGCTGCTTCTCAGAAATGCAGGTCATGTGATGGAGAAAACCAAAAGTAATTGTAAAACTTGGATCAGGGAACACCTAGATTAGTAAGACCAGTGTAACAATCGACAATGTAAACATTTTACTGTATCGTCATTTGAATTCCAGATGGTAGGGGAGGATCATCAGATACAAACTGGCATCAGAAGAAGGCAGGTGGTGAAAACAAGAAGTCTCATTCTCACATAAACTGTGTAGCTGTGATTGTGTCTTGTGCAGGTTTAATTAAGAAAATTGTTGTTCATTCAGTGAAGTTACCAGAGGTATTTTTTTTGACAAATGTAAGCAGTGTTGTTTTAAAATATTACTCAAACAGAAGTAAAAAAAAAAAAAGTTGCTGAAGTAAAACTTTTCCAAAATTACTCAAGTAAATCTGAGTAAATGTAACTTGTCACTACCTGCCTCTTCCAATAAGGCAGCTGTGTAAATCGTGCTTATGAAAACAGGCAGTGATTTCAGTTTCTATTTTTTGAAATTGTTGATGCATATTGCATCCATGTGACTCTTAGAGGGTGTGGCAGATGTACAATCACAAAAGGCAGACCAGCACTGTCCAAACTTTTTGTTGTGCTTGCCAAAATCGTTAAGTCAAAAGTAATCCTTGAAGGCAAAAAAAAAAAGACTTTTGTTAAAAACTAAAATCTCTTTTTGCTCAAGCAATAAAAAAATAATACAAAAATTTAGATTTACTGGAAATTGCGGAAAGGATATAATAAGTAAAGGTGACATGTTGCTTTGCAGAGTGGGGGATACACGGCCAGGCCCCTCCGCCTCCGCCGCCGCCCCCACCCGAGCAGCCCTGGATTCCTCCGGGGTCCGGCCCGATGGACGTGGTGGCCCCGAGCGAGGACAGCAACAGCCAGGACAGCGTGGAGTTCAACTCTGAAGCCCACCGCGGGGGTTACCCCCAGAACAGCCATGGGTATGGGGCACAGCCCGACAGCTACGCCATGGCCCCCATGGCCATGAACCAGTTTGATTATCAGGTATGCAGATGCTGCGGTAGAAACTGTTGAAGCTTGTTGGGTTTTAGTGTGAGAAGCGAGTAGCAGAGGAAGAGGCAGTCCACAACGTCTGTGCTGGACGCCAGCGTCTAGCTGCGTCAGAGACTCTGTCCACACGTAATGCTTTACACTCTGCATGTTTGGAGTGTTTCATAAAATGTTCAAGTTTCCAGGCTGCAGATGTTCTGAATCATTTTGCAAATTTCAGCTTATGAAGTGAGGCACCCGAACTTTTTGTAGAAGTTGGACGTCCATCGTGTCATTAGGAAAAACGGAGAGGATTTGCTGAGACAGCAAACACGAATAGTTTATGTTCCTCTGAGAACAGAGAAGGGCCGAGACCCTTAATCAAATTAATTGTGATGAATTTATTGTTGAAGTCAACTAATTTAGTAACCGGTTAATTAACTGAATTTTACTGACTCAGACTTGGGATTTGTTGAAAGGGAAAACACACAGAGAGCAGTGATTAAGCCAAAACTATACCAAAAATATTTACATTTTGGATTCAAGACAAACAAAGAATTCTTCTTTCTCTATGAATATGTTCACCTAAAACTCCTCAGGTAGCAGTTTTAGCTACACATGCTCAAATTCTGTTAAAAATGTTTTTTTAAAATGTCATATTATGCACATTTTTAAATGTCATTATTAATCTGTTAAATCCAAAAATAATCAGCATAAAAGATTTAAACAATGCTATGTTGAATTCAAGCCATAAAATATTTACTTTCTTACTTAAAAAGGGAAGTGAATTATTTGTATATTTGAATTAATTTCTAATATTGTATAGAAAAGTCTT